TACAATATGTATTTCACTACTGATTGATAACACTAATATATTTACTAAGGCTGTGGGCCTAAAAATTCCAAATAAGTTAACTTTTGTCTCTAGTCTATATCTGCTTCAGTGGGCTTCCATTTGGCTGGCAGACACATTCAGGCATCGGCTGCTGACTTCAACCTGTGACATGTGGACTTGCTGAAAGCTGATATGGACCTTCTTCACCTGGTCAATGAACCAGATGCTTCTAAATCCTCTCCTTGCTTTTGACTAACATTCTGGCTTTCTAGGACCCTGAAAATAATGTCCCAACATCAGCAGGAAGTAATTACAAAAGCAAAAATGTCATCCTTATTCCCCTCTGGAATGTTAGATCAAAGAAAATTTTCTATCATAGGGAACCTGAGATAAAATAATAACTGGTCCCTATTCTCATTTCCAAGTTCCTTCAGGATAAGGAACTCTGTCAGCCATCACAGGGCTTTTGGCCCTTTTGCTTCTGCTAATTACTGCTGGCTTTTATGTCATTGATGTTTAACTAAATAATAATTCCTGTTTGGATGCCACTAAACCGATGATGCTAGAATCCCTCATCTTGCTTTCTGAGGTCATGTTACAGAATAGGCTAGGGATAAGCCTCCAATTCTTACGACAAGGGGGACTATGTGTAGCCCTGGGAGAGAAATGATGTTTTTATGTAGAACACTCCGGGCTGGTTAAGGATTCTATGACCAAAGTATGAGATGGCCTCAACAAGCTGATGCAAATCATCAAAGAAAGGTTGGGGACCATCAAATTAATGGTGCAAAGGACTCAAACTCAATATGAGATCCTCAACCAAGATATAAAAATGGGCCATCTGACTCAAGACAGAAATTTGCAACCTAGGAATTGACAACCCATGATTGGGTGTTCTCAAGTTACTAGGAGAGGAGGGAATGAAAGGGAAAAATCAGTAGCCATCTTGAGAGATGCTCCCCCCTCCCAAAGGTATTTGCTGACCAGCAGTTTTAGAACTGACCAGAAGTTGAACTCATGGGAAGATAAGGCTGAAACAATAAATCTGAATGTATATATCCTGGGTTCAGCAAAAGCAGGACATAGGGAGTAAAAAAAAATTATGTCTCTGTAGATACCCTGAATCCTGTGAGCCATCAGTAACCTCATGCTTATAGTTCAGCCAGTAACTTCAAAGAACTACCTCACCCCTAGCCCCCTCGTCCAATCCCAAGATATGTAACTCTCTGGATGTAAACCTTTCCTATATAAACCCCTTAAAGTGAGTGCTCGGGGCCTTCCTCCTCCACCTGCTATGTGTTTGGAATACGGACCAAGCCTCGGGCTTGCTTATTAAAAAAAAAAAAACCCTCTGTGTGTTTGCATCAGATATTGGCTTTGTGGTGGTCTTGCATGGGGGTCTTGTGATGTGGGCACAACAGAACTGAGAAGCTTTCTAACTCTAAACATAATATCTGGACAGTAAATTTTATATATTGCTGAGTAAAAGATCATATCTTATGTTTCGAGTGGGGTATGTGTGTTGTATGTAAGCTTATGCCCCAAATAGCTTTGATTTATTTTTTTAGACAGGATGTCCTGGAACTCACTATGTAGACCAGGCTGGCCTTGAATTCACAGAGATCTGCCTGCCTCTGAGTACTGGGATTAAAGGTGTGTGCTACTGTGTCTGGCTCTAAAATAGTTTTGAATAGAAAACCACTCAGTGTCTTCAGAAAAAAATGTCTTTTGGAGTTAAAAAAATTTTCATTATTGTTTTTCCTTTTAATGAAGAAAGCTAATGGCTAGATCTGCATAGTGATGTTTCATTAATATTTGTTGTGTGTAGAACACATTTAGTACAGTTCATACTTTTTTGTTTTTTTGAGTCAGGGCCCCATGTAGCCCAGGCTGGCCCCGAACTTCCTTTGTAGTCAAGGATTACCTTTAATTCCTGATCCTCCTGCCTCAACTTCCTAATGCTAAGATTACAAGTGTGCATCACGATTCCCATTACACATCTTCTTTGAAAGTCAATGTTTTAAAAACCACTATTTATTACTACCTTTCTTTGTGGTAATTTCAAAAAAATTCAATCTAAATGTTGAATTAAATATATAACCTTTGGTAGTTTGAATGTAATTGACCCCTGTAAGCTCAGGGAATGGCGCTATTGGGAGGTGTGGTTTTGTTGGAGTAGGTATGGCCTTGTTGAAGGAAGTGTGTCGCTGTGGAGGAAGGGCTTTGAGGTCTCATACATGCTCAAGCCACACCCAGTGTCTCAGTTCACTTCCTGTTGCCTGTAGGATCCAGATGTAGCTCCTTCTCTGCTCTTGGCTCCTTCTCTAGCACCATGTCTGCCTGCCTGCCACCTTGTCCCACCATGATGAAAACGGACTAAATCTCTGGAACTGTAAGCCACCCAATTAAATGCTTTCCTTTATAAGAGTTGCAGCAGGGCTGGAGAGATGGCTCAGTGGTTAAGAGCACTGGCTGTTCTTTCAGAGGTCCTGAGTTCAATTCCCAGCAATCACGTGGTGGCTCAAAAACATCTGTATTGAGACCTGGCACCCTCTTCTGGCCTACAGGTATACATGTAAGCAGAACACTGTATACATAATTAAATAAATAAATCTTAAAAAAAAAAGAGTTGTTGTGGTAATGGTATCTCTTCACACAATAGAAACCCTAAGACAAACCTTTGTAAACATGTAACTAGAAATTTTTTCTTTTTTTTTTTTTTTTGTTTTTATTTTTTCGAGACAGGGTTTCTCTGTGTAGTTTTGGTTCCTGTCCTGGATCTCACTCTGTAGACCAGGCTGGCCTTGAATTTACAGAGATCCTCCTGACTCTGTCTCCCAAGTGCTGGGATTAAAGGCGTGCACCACCACCGCTCAGCAAAATTTTTTCTTAATTTTAAATTTGAAAACAAAAATTCCATTAGCCTAGAAATGAGATTTAATTCTCTTGGTTTATTTTGATCTTTGGACTTTATTTTTTTATTTTTTGTTTTTTCTAGAAAGAGTTTCTCTACATATAGTCTTGGAACTCACTCTGTAGACCAGGTTGGCCTTGAGTTCACAGAGATCCACCTGCCTCTGCATCCCTAGTGCCGGGATTAAAGGCGTACACGACCACCATCATCATCACCACCACCACCACCACCACCCCGCAATCTTTGGACTATTTTTAAAATTATAAATCAGTAATTGGATTTCAAGATATAGAGACTTTATATAATATTTGTTAATATTTTGTTAATTTGAATTCTTTGTATGGATGTTACAATTCTCCCAGCATAGTACTTGTTGGAAAATATTGTTCGAATTAATGTTTGTATATGTTCATTTGAAATTATATTAAAATCAGGAAAATGTATATTTGTTATAATTTCCTTTCTGATTTTTACATGTGTTTATAAACATTGCATGGGTGTGGGTGGGTACATGTACGTATGTGGGTACATTGTGGAAGCAGAGGTTGTTATGTTCTTCAATGATTCTCTACATTATTTGAAGAGGCAGGATCACTTGCTGATCCTAGAGCTGATCAGTTCAACTAGTCTAGCAAGCCAGCTTGCTCCTGAGATCCTCTGTCTCCGCTGCTAGCATGCTGGGATGACAGGTGGGCCTCTACTCATGTCTGGCTTTTATGTGGGTGCTGGGCATCTGAACTCTGGTCCTCAGGCTTTACACCCTGAGCCATCTCCTCAGACCATCTTTTTCTTTATTTTTTTAGCACTGTTGGGAATGGAACCCAGGGCCTTGCCCTGCAATGTAAGCGTTCTACTATTAAGCTTTATCCACAGCTCCTTGTGAGGAAAAAGACAAACTGGACAATGTTGAAAAAATGCACTTTGCAAACCGCAAACAAAGTATAGAGCAGAAGGGCCTGAGTGGACCTGTACAGGTGAGAGTCTGCCTCCAGAATTCCCAAGGAAGGTCATTCACGGGACCTTTCTGGTAGCGCAGAAGAGTGGTTTCCTGGCATGCTTGTCTGTGGCTCTAAATTAACCACAGAGAGTAGAGAACAGGGATCCCTGGCTTCCATGTCCCAAGACTGATATCCATTGCTGTCTATTCCTGAGGAACAATTCACCTTATTGTCAGTTCTGGTCAGTTTTAGCCTGAAGCAAAGCCAAGCTGGAAGATGGGCCCTTTCGTTGTTGTTAGATACTGTCTGCTTAGCAGGGGGCGGGCTACACCATATAACACAGTGCGGAGGCAGCAAGCCCACAGGGTAGGAACATGGCCATAACTCAGAGAAGGGAGGGGTAAGAGTTCACTTTTTCCCTGTGCCAGTAAGAGCATCACCAAGGTATTAGTACCCTAAACTCCCAAATGCCCCAGTGGCATCCACAGCCCCAGGCCAGTGGAGGACAGCTGAAACTCAGTACGTTCTGGGAAGACTGGAGCCGAGGTGGGCCAGCTTCTCAGGGGAGACAAACACTGTATGGTCTGGATGGTGACCCCACTAATGTGTAAATTGGGAGAGTGCCCTCATGTCTTACACGATCTTTGCAAATGTGATTCCAGAAAGGATTTCAGAGACCCAGGGACGATTGGTCCCACTTCCAATGATAGATGTGAAGAAAAACAGGGAGAAAGGAGACCGACGCAGAGGACAAGCTAAGGGGGCAGAGACTGGAGGGTGCAGCCAGGAGTCCAGCAGGCCTGGGCCGCCCCAAGCTGGGAGAGGCGGGAAAGAGCCTTCCTTAGTCTGTCAAGAAAGCAAGGAAAACTAAGGGACCGTGCTGCTGCTGTCACTGCCAAACTTGTAGAGCTCTGGCCTCTAGTAATGTAAGCACGGTCTCCGCCCCGTCCTTTCTGCACCGCCCCCCGCCCCCATGCCGCGTCCGGTCCTTTCTGCACTGTACCCCGCTCTGCCCCGCCCCGTCCGGTCCTTTCTGCACTGTACCCCGCTCCGCCCCGCCCTGTCCGGTCCTTTCTGCACCGCCCCCCGCCCCCTAAGCCTCGTCCCCCTCCTTTCTGCACCGCCCCATCCCTCTCAACGGGGCAGAGGGAGGGTGTGTCCCTTGCACCCCGCAGAGGGAGGGTGTGTCCCTTGCACCCCCCAGAGAGCCGGGTGTGTTGGGGTGTGTGAGCGCGTGCTTCTGCCGCGGCACCGCAGGTTCTCCTCAAACCACTGATTGGAGGACGCTGCGCAGGGATCGCCGGCAGGTCTGGTTCCTGGGCCCGGAGTGGGAGGCGGCGCTTCTGCGGCCGCAGCACCGGCTCCGGGTGCCCAGGAGCGCCAGCTTCTCAGGGGAGACAAACCCCGCAAGGTCCGGATGGCGGTCCTCTGGAGTGGGCTTGCCTCTTGTAATTTCTAGAAGATCTGTGGACCGAAGAGACAGATTTGGTAAGTGTTGGTGAGTGAAACGGAAAAGTCTCTTTGGAAAAAAGTCTCTTTCTGTAACTTCGGGACTCCACAGAGGGAGGAAACCTGCCCAGAGCCTTGATGGGAATGGTCATGGTAACTGGTGGGGGCAGATCCAGGGGAAGGCAGGTCTGTCTTCCGAGTTGGGGTCCAGAAGCTTGTGTACACTTGTCGTCAGCCTCAGAGGACATCCGCGCTCGATCGGGAGAGGGGGGTGGGGGGGGGGGAGAGAGAGAGGGAGAAGGCGGGCGCGCGCGCGGGGGGGGCGGGGGCAGGGAAGAGAGGGGACGATCTAAGAGAAAGAGAGGAAGGACGGACAGAGAAGGAAATGATTTTCTAAGAGTTGAGTTCTGGAGAAGGGAACCTGGGGCCGGAGGGAAAGGAGAGAGCTGTAATCGCTGAAAATGAAGTTACCGATTCTTATCGGGTTGGGCATCTGGCTGAGGCGCATATCTGGATGATGGGGAGGATATTATTTTGCTGAGGAATGTCTTAGAATGGATTGTCCTTCTGGGACTGGCAGTCTGTGCCAGATGTGTGGGTGACACAGACTCAAACTCCTGATGCTCTGAGCTTGTTTCCTTAAAAGCTTTTTTTTTTTTAAGGTGGGGTCTCATGTATCCCTTGGCGCTGGAGCCCCTGTTCCTCCTGCCTTCATGGCCCCGGGGCTAACATCAGAGGCATGAGTCACCTCACCTCGTGCTGGGGACCTGCCGCCTAAGCAGACACTGTCCAGCTGAGCTTAGTTATCTTCCAAGACTGCACTTGGTAGAGAAGGCGTGGGAGTGTGGCATCCCATCTTATTCTTAAAGCCTAAGGGTAATTACTGATTACACACCTTCAAAGGCCCCGCCACACATATAGCTGAGGCACCTGTCCGAGCCTGGACGCTTGTCTCTTCAAGTGCGTCTTGTCTTTCTGCTTAAGAAACTCACGGACTGGTTCTGAACTTGTTTTCTGTGACAGACTTCCAGGTGCTCTTGTGTGGGGCCCACCATGCTCTGAGGGGGCCTCCCCTGCTGCACTACTCAGCTGGTGGAAGTGCATGTCCTGCTGCTCAAGACAAGATGACTTCACAGAGCTGCCAGAGGGGTCCAGAGAGTGCACACGTGAACTACAAGGGGCCATGCCATACTGCTGTCTGCCGTCATAGCTCTTCCCTACTTGGCTGCAACCTAGAACCGCCCAACAAACATGGAGGGCAGAGCAAGCCAGTCCCGTCCAGCGCTGTGGGCTCCTCATGGGTGACTGGCTTGCTGAGGATGCTATTATTGCTTCTGTGGTACATGCCCGTGGCAGGTAGGATGCGGATGGAATGGGAAGGGACGGGGAGGCTGCTGTAGCTCCTGCTATCCCTGGTGGGCTCCGCTGGGGGTCCGTCCCACTTAGTGTGGTGGTGGCCTGCTGTCCCTTACCCTGCCTCTTGTCATAGTGCAGATATACTGACTGGTTGCTCAGATGTGCTCTGAAGACCCTCAGTGCGCAGTTTGCCCTGCCTGCATCCCTCTTGGTGCCTTCCTACTTCACCCATGATGTGGGAACTGGGGCAGCGTTGGAGAAAAGCTACCTTTGTTTCATCCAGGCGTCTTTACCGAAGTTCTGGCGGAGATGGGGAGGGATAGTTTTCGTCTCGTGGGGATGTACTAAGGGTCTTAGTTCTGTAGCTTGAGAAGCTAAGGTAAGGCACTGGCTGGTTCAGCTCTAGGATAACTTCCTGTTCTGTCCATCATAGCGGAGATCTTGCAGCTTTCACACTCAGCAGTGGCTCTAATCCCACTCAGGAGGCGGAAACCTCACGCCATGACCATCTCCCAAAGTCCTCACTGCTCAATGCTGTCCCAGTGTGTGTGGGGGGGTGGGATTTCACCATCAACATGCACATTTGGGAAGGATGAAGAATTCAGTGCTTAGCACATCACCAGACACGCTCGCTGAAAATATAACATCTGTGTTATACACCCAAATGGATCCACAGCTGAGGTGTGACTCTTATCAGACCTCTTTGGGGAAACTGATCAGTTGGGACCGATGAGATGATTTGGCAGATGGAGCCTGATGAGTTTGCTGCCTGGAGCCCACATGGTTTAAGGAGAGAACTCACTTCCACAAGTGTTCTCCGACCTCTCTATAGATGCCCCCCTCAATAAATGTAATTTTTTAGTTAAAAATTAATTATCTAATTGTAAAATGCACAGAGATCTCTAACAGCCAAGACAAGCTTGTCAAGAAAGGACAGGGCTGGGGGGTCTAACTGGATTAACAAGGGCCCTTGAGTGAGAGCTGGTGTGAGCTATTCAAGGCTATACCAAGGGCTGTCCATTGCATCCCAGGGACTGGGTACCGGGAGCCTCCTGTAACTGAGCTCTTGTGTTGCCCTAGGTGGGCTGGAAGTGAAGACCGAAGAGAGACAGATGGTTTTCTTACACGATAATGTCACTGTACTCTGCAAAATCCCGGGGTCACCCTGCCTGGACATCACGACTGTGGGAATCATCTGGTCTCGGAAGAAAGAGTGGAATGAATCTGAGACCTCCGTATATCAGTTTTATGGAAGTCACCGGGAGGCGATCCGACCTGGAGCCAATGTGTCATTGTTGGGGCTGGAACGGGGCGATGCCTCACTCCTTCTGCCCAGGATCGAGCTGAGTGAAGCAGGAGAGTACCGATGCAAGCTGGTGGTCACCCCTCAAAAGGCAGAGGGAACGACCAGGCTAGATGTTGTGGGTGAGTCCTTGACGGAAGTGCCCGGTAGTTCCGATGGTGCTGAGGCTAGTGGTGAATGTGTGGATGGCCAAGCAGAGCCGGGGGTTAGGACATGGGCGAAGGAGTCGGGGGCCATGGTTTTCAGTTCTGTCCACTGCAACCCATGCCAGAAGGCAAATACTAAAGAGGATGAGGCAGGAGGATCTTGAATCTAAGGCCATCTGTGGTTCACATTTTGTGTGGAGATGTATATAGTTTGATTGTAAAGTGTTTGCCAGACTCTGGCTCCAACCCCCATTCCTGCTCCAACTAAACAAAACCAAAACAGTTTGACAACCTTTAGCAACTTGCCAGTCACTCTGAACTTCAGTGTCCTTTCCTGTGCTCAGAGGGAAAGATAATCTACCTAGGAGTTGTAGGGAAGAGTCTGTGAGGAGCCTGCTCTCCAACGGCAGCCTTAGTAGTTACGTACTCCACCTGTTACGTGCACCGTCCATCTTCACCGAAGAGGTGCCTCCGGAAGGGGCCTGGGAGAGGAGCTCGGTGCCAGGCTGGCCTCCACAGATCTCAACTCAGATTCAGCTTTGCTGCTCCCAACCTGAGAGACTGGACCAAACACTGAGTATCTTTGGAGTGAAATTTTCCCACGAGTCAAACGGGATGGGGTCTCACTAAGTTGCTGAAAGGTGGCTTGAACAGAAGCAGAATTGTTCTGCCTGCGGCTCAAACCAGCCTTACCAGAGTGTGTGTCTGTGGCCGCTTCTGCCTTCAATCCCGCTGCATTCACCTGCAGTTACTTAGGCCAGTGTCGTTAGCCATTTCCCACTGCCAGGGTGTTGTGCATTTGGGTATTAGTTAGCCTCAGTGGCACAGTATGTTTGTTTGTTTGTTTGGAGATAGTTTCATGTACCCCCGGAGGGTGGCTCTGAACTTGCTGTGTGGCTGAGTCCCCTTTGTATATTTTGGATAGAAGACCTTTATTTCATATATATATATATATATATATATATATATATATATATATATATATATATATATATATTTCACAAAATATGTTCTTGAAGTCTTGCTTATCATTTTACGTTGACAACTTCTACACAGAAGTGTTGAATTTTCACTAATCCTAACACAATTTTTCCTTAATAGTTTATGACCTGACATTATTTCCTTATTTGGCTTTTTGGAAAGTGGTTTCAGGTAGCCTAGGCTGACCAGGATTTGCTATATAGCTACAGATGGCCTTGCGGTCTGACCCTCGCGCCTCCATCTCCTACGCGCTGGTGCTGCAGATTGTATCCCCCCCCCCCCATGCCTCATTTGTCTGTCCTGTTACAGTATCACAGCAGCTTTCCTTAGGGACATTTCCTGGGAGGTGCTTTCGCACCTCTGACTAGGTCCAGGGTGACTGCATCTTCCTGCAGGATCTCTTTAACCTGGATGGGTCATTTCCAAGGCAAACATGCAAAGAATCAGTGTCCACTATGGCTACACTCCAGTGCTTTCTCAGAATCTGAAAAATGTCTGACACTGGCGTCATAAACTCTGCTTGACAAAATTGCTGTGCAAACGGGGTCACGGCATACCCAGAATAGTTGATTAGGCAGAGTCTGAATGGGTTCAGTCACCCATCTCCAGCGTTTGCCCAGGGGTCAAACATACCAGTAAGATCTTCTCTGTCTACCTCCAGGGAGCTCCCAGTCTGGTGTGGTAAACTGGGGGTCCCCAAACTCATTGCTGAGGTAGAAGCCATTCAGTGTGGTGTGAGGAGAGAAACCGGTGGTTGGCCCTGGCCAAATGGTGGTTCTTTTCTCTGGCAGCTTCCCCGGCCATGAAATTGTTTGTGAAACCAGCTACAGAGAGAAATGGTGAAGAACAGCACGTTATATGCAAGCTGGATGGGTTCTACCCAGAAGCCTTTGACGTAAAGTGGGGGAAGAGCACCCTGAATGACCCCCACTTCCAAGCCATTACTGAGGGCATAGTCACTGGTCCCACTGTGAGGAATGATGATGGAACCTTCAGTGTTACCAGCTCCTTGGCCCTGAGACCAGCCCTGGAAGACCATGGCAATACCTTCTTCTGTGTGGTGTCACACAAATCCTTACTTGACTCCAAGAGGCTCAGTGTTATGCTGCCTGAGAAAAGTAAGCATCCCCCTGCTCCCCGCACTTGAGGACATGTGACTGGAAGTTTGGGATCTTTGAGAGGATTGGAGAAGTCTAGGATCTTTGCTGGGGAAGGAGAGGAAATTTGGGGCCGAAGGAGAACAAACTAGATCTAGTTCATCTCAGACCCCAGAGTCAGCAGTCCAGATTTAGGTCCTGGGCTGATGGCCTAGAGGTAGATGCAGGGGTTGCGGGGGGGGGGGGGGGGGGGGGGGGGGGTGGCGGCGGCAGATAGGGCCATCAGGGCTGTTTGTCAGCTCAGAACACCTTCAGAGTCTGGGTGTTCCCATGACAGGCAGCTTGCCAGCTCCTTGGAGACCGGGGCCAGCATCATCCTCTGAGAATGAGAGACTACCATCGGCCAGAGACCAGTTGTGCCAGCACCCTTTCCAGTTAGGTTATGGGCCTCCCTCAGATGCTGTTAGATGTTTCAATCCAATAGGTAGTCTGTGGGCTGTGTATCAAGATGAGGGAGCCGTAGAGGGTGGTCTTGATGATGGCTAAGGCTTCCTACAGGTGTACCATACTCATAGGCTAGCACAGCCACTGCGGTTTTGCTCATCTGGTAGGGTGGGGTGCTTGAGTTCGTATCCTGGGCTGCCCTGACTGTGGCTCTCGTGTTTGGTGGGGATGACCTTGCTGATCAAACACATCTTCCTGAACTGAGAGGAATAAAGAAGGTAAGGACTGAATAGAACTCTGTGTGTGTGTGTGTGTGTGTGTGTGTGTGTGTGTGTGTGTGTGTGTGTGTGTGTAGAGAGAGAGACACAGAGAGAGAGAGAGACAGAGGGGGGGGGCGGCTGTGCCAGTTGAGCTGTTCTTAGAGTAAGGACTAGAAGCATGTGTGGATGCAGCTTAAATATGCTGGTGTATTGAATATGCACTTTGGTTTGGGTGGATGAGTTATATGATGTAGTCTGGAACCCATAAAGCTGTGTGTGACGTATGGTCTTTGATATTACTCAGACCTTATTTTATCTCTCACATACTCTTTTCCCTTTCTCCTTCATTTCCCCTTCTCTTTCTCTCTTTCCTCCCTCCCTTCCTTTCTTTTACAAGTTTGTGTATTGTATATGTGGGGTGTGCACAATGGTGCTTGTGCGGCCATCAGAGAACAGCTTTATGAAGTCAGTTCCCTCCTTAAGTGGGTCGCAGTGAACCACCTCAACTCAGTGAGTCATCACGTAGACCCTCCTTTCTTTTGATACAGGGTCTAACGTTGCTCAGGCTGGCCTTGAATTTGCAATGGTGTCTAGGATGACCCTGCACGCTTGATCTTCCAACTTCTACTTCCAGAAGGCTAGAGTTATAGTCATATGTCACTACGCCCGATTTACACGGTGCTGGGCCTTGAACCCAGGGCTTGGTGCATGCTGGACATGCACTCCACAGTGGAGCTACATCTCCACTCCCTTCGTTCGTTCGTTCCTTCATTTGTTCCTTCGTTCATTCCTTCATTTGTTCGTTCGTTCATTCCTTCCTTCCTTTTTTGAGGCAGGGTTTCAATCTACAGCCCAGCTGACTTGAACTCATGAACCCCTAAGGCTGGGCTCCCAGGTGTGCACCGCCATGCCAGATGTCATACTGTGCTGTGCTAAACACTCCGATGGCTGAGGACCTGAGTGATAGCAATGGTGTTGCTAATCCATGACAGAGGCCTGGTGGGGATCTCTGGTGAGACTTGACATCAGCCACACAGACTGTAACACCGGTCCTCTGTAGTCTTGGGCCCTCACCAGTGTTTGCTACTCTTCTGGTTGTTGTCGTAAAATACTCCGACAAAGGCAACTCGCTGAAGAAAGGGCTTATTCTTGGCTTACCGATCAAGGGTGCCGTCCGTCAAGGCAAGAAGATGACGGCAGCAGGTGGCCACAGCGTGTGTGCAGTCAGGACACGGAGGACGCTGAGCGCTCGGCTTGCTTCCTCCTGCTTGCTGAGTCCTGACCCGTGGGACAACGTCAGCCACAGTTAAAGTGTGTCCTCCTACCTCTGTTAACCTAGTGTAGATAACCTTTCACAGACTGCACAGAGGACTGTCTGATAGGTGATTCTCAGTCCGGTCAAGCTGACAATATTAACCATCATAACATCCTCTCTCTCCTCTCTCTCCAGGACCTGTGGAGATATACTTTACCATTGTTGGTCCCTGTGTTCTCCTGGCTTTGGTTTTGGCTTTGGTGATAGTTTATTGCCTCTGGAGATGGTAAGAACCAGTAAGACAAAGCACAGGCCTGTGGCTAGAACTTGGCTTCAGGTGTTTGTGATCACAGTCACCAGACACTATCAGGGAGGTCTGGGGATGGGTGCTGGGATACTGTGTGTTGTTTTCTGATGTTAGTTTAGGAAAGAGTTTCCCTGTCTGGTCTCTTATCCGTGACTCTGTGGAGAAGGGCTGTGGAGTCTCTGCCTGTCCACGGGATACGACTTTCACTGTGAATTGCATCTGACCTTATCAGTTGAGACCAGGGCTTTGAACTATGAGTGGACTGTAGTGTTCAGTCACACAAAAACCCTTAGCTGAGGGAGCCAGTTCCCTCATTGCTCATGTTTGTTAACACCTTAGTGGGCTAACTGACCATAAGTTTTCAGTGGGGTGACCAAGAATTTCTAATTCCCCTAGATGTTTCTAAATTAGATTTTCAGCTATCATCCAAAGAAAGAGAATGATGCAGCTGCTTTAGAGGCTCAGGACCCAGTGTAAATGTGCTGGTTAGAAGATTCTAGGAAGTCAAGTGGATCTTTATTACTCATGGGCCTGCCAAGGCACAATGTATGCAAGGCTAATGCTTCTCTTTGTACTGCATCAGGAGCAGTGGGAGAGTCAGACAAGAAAATAAGGACTTCTACGCTGCAGAGATGCTCAGCAGTTAGGAGTACCTGATGCTCTTGAAGAGGGCCCAGCACCTACATGGTGGCTCACAGCCCGTTGAAAACATCTCATCTCCGCAGGATCATGTACACCTATGGTGAACATAAACTCATGTAGGCACGCACACAAACGCAGAAAGATAATACAGAAATAAGTCTGTTGGAAGAAGAAGGAGGAGGAGGAGGAGGAGGAGGAGGAGGAGGAGGAGGAGGAGGAGGAGGAGAAGAAGAAGAAGAAGAAGAAGAAGAAGAAGAAGAAGAAGAAGAAGAAGAAGAAGAAGAAGAAGAAGAAGAAGAAGGAGAAAAGAAAGGCTGCTGATACAACACAGACCAGCTGTTTTCCGGAAGTTATTTCCCTAGTTGGGGCTGAGCCAATGGGAAGCCTGTGCGTAAGGTTTTATGGAAGTGTTTCTTGGGCACTGATGGCTTCTTTTATTCTTGTCCTTCTCTAATCTGATCTAGGTGCTGCTTGTCATCTTACAGGAACCCTTAAGTGAAGGGGCACAAAGGCAGTGAGTGACTCGACCTGAATCCTCACACAGCCATCCCTCTGTCTTTACTTCGCCCTTCTGTGTCCCCCACAAGTGGGCAGGCAGTCCCTTGACTTCATGGCATTTGCTAAGAAAACTTAAGCTGCAGTTTTTAAAGATGCATTTTTAGGATTATTTTCTACGTGAGACACTTAGTCATGAAAACACAGTGTGCCACAGCTGCCAGTGAAAATGGTCTGCGGGGGACGTTTCCAGCTCCAAGTGCCTACTAAGATAAATAACTTAATGATACACCGCAGGGCCTTGAAAAACAAGCTCAAGCCAAACCCCAGATCTGTAGTGGGGAAGAGTTAAGATCAGGGCAGGGACTGATCAAATGGAAATGAAAAATTACAAAATTTGTAAATCTGATCTACAAACCCCAGCTAACTGGATAGCAAAGCCTCACCTAATAAAGCCAGAGGTAAGAAAGGAGCCATTCAGAAACTCAGGGAGCACCAGGACATTCTTTAAAAGTAGATATTTCACTAAATTAGAAAATTTTAAAGTATTAGATGAATTACTTTGTGTATATGATCTACCACAATTATACCCAGGTGAGATAAATGATTTAAACAGATCTGTTAGGAGCAGTGAGGTTGATGTTGTAATAATACTAGTGATAATGATAATAATAATGATAAACAACAACATCACCAAACAAAGCAGTGTTCAGGCCCTGACAGATTCACTGGTAAAAGCTACCAGATCTTCAATGAAGTGCTATCACCAGCCCCTCCGAAGAGAGGAAAGACCACTGCCAAACTCTCTTACAAGCCCAGCATTAGCATCAGAACAAAACTGGATGGAGACATAACAAGAAAGGAAGGTTGTTTTTTTTAAACATTCGTTATTTATTTATTTATTGCATGTGTGTGAGCTTACCCGTAGATGTGGAGGTCAGGAAAGAAAATCACTTTTTTTTTACTCAGGCTGGAGAGAGGGTGTCCACTTTCTCCACCCTTATACAATATACTTCTTGGAGTCTTAGCTAGAGCAGTATGACCAGAGAAGCAAACAATTATTTATATCTATCTGTTTATCTATTGTCTGTCTGTCTGTCTGTCTGTCTGTAATCGAGGCAAATAGAAGGAATGTCAGGACCAGTAAGATGGCTCAGCCTGGGCCCCTGAGTTCCATTCCTAGAACACAAGTAAAGGTGGAGGGAGAGAGCCAACTTTGTCTAGTTACCCTTTGACCTCCACACACTCTCCATGGCATGCCCTTCCCATCATGCACAGAAACAATAAAACAAGGAGTGTGGAGTAGAGATAGGAAGGAAACACCAAAGTCTCCCGATGTGCAAGTGACGCATGCATGAGAGACCCCAACAGTGCCACCAGTATACTGCTTATGTTGATGTCTTAAAATGACCTATTTGTAAGCAAGGATTTTTAGTATCTGTGACTAGGAATTTATAAAGCTGGGTATCTGAACTTGATGTATTGTTCAACAGTTTACAAAGCCAAGTGACCCATGGTTGCTCTCTTTTATATGAAATGTATCAAGACCAAGGAAAGACTTGGCAAGCACAACCCTGCTATGTGAAGCCCGTGTCTACCTCTGTTTGCCTTGAAATAAGTGTTTTGTTATGTATGTATGAGATGCACTTGCACTGCAGAGGAAGGGTCTGTTTGTGGACACAGCTCTAAAATCGTGAGAGTCCTTACAATTTTACAGTGTAGAACTGTTGTCCTGCTGGCCAAAGGGTCTTAAGTTATTCTTCACTAATAGATGGTGAATTACAGAGAAGGGATTTCTGTGCAATGATGGGGATTGGTGCTGGGTCCTGTTGTGTTACATAAGCCTTCTAAGATGCAAAGCTTAGGAGAACAGGAAGTTAACGTCCTCCAAACTAGAACTGGTAATGGTGCTGTCTGAGGCAGCTAACTGCCCGTATCTCTGCAACCTAGACCTGTCCGGTGCCAGGTGCACCTCAGGGGCTACCCTTTGGGGACAGTGGCTTCCAAAGTCATCTGAATTCTTTGTGTAAGCCAGACATGGCATTGCACAGCTTTAATCTAGCACCTGGAGGCAGATGTCTGTGAGTTTGAGGCCAGCTTGATCCACATAGTGGGTTCCAGGCCGACACAATGAGACACCGTCTCAAACGAATAAGATAAATAGTAAACTCTATGTATTAGTATTGTAAAGCCAACGAAGGGAGGCGTTCTCTGGGAAGCCCTCAACCATGGGCTATGATTTTTTTTTTTTTGCTTTCTCCCAAGTGCCTTTTCTCAATAATTGTGTTGAAATGTATAGCAAAATCTCTTTATAATAAACTCTAAATATCCTTTGCAATGGTTCATTTTGAAATTCTTTTCTTCGGTGAAGTCAGAATCTGAATTTTCTGTGGCAAAGTTAAGAATCCAGCTGTACCTGAGTCAAGGTCTCCAAAAGATTAAAGAATGCCTCGTGCTGCTGGGGACAGTTCTGGGCTGTCTCCACACCACGGCCACAGGCATCTTTTGTGGTGGATACTTTGGAACTTTGTGGGTGAACCCCCTATGGGCCTGCATGCTACTTTGGTTTCTTTGTTTCTTCTGTTTTCTGTCAGGACCCACAATCCTGTGTCGCTAGAGTTTTCCTGCCTGGCCCACAGTCAGGACAAATCTCTCTCACCCGCCAGTCCCACAGAAGCTCAGACCCGACCAAGTAAACACAGAGACTTATATTGGTTACAAACTGTATGGCCGTGGCAGACTTCTTGCTAACTGTTCTTATAGCTTAAATTAATTCATTTCCATTAATCTATACCTTGCCACGTGGCTCGTGGCTTACCGGCATCTTCACATGCTGTTTGTCATCATGGCGGCTGGCAGTGTCTCTCTGACTCAGCCTTCCACTTCCCAGCTTTATTCTCCTCCTTGTCCCGCCTACACTTCCTGCCTAGCCAATGGCCAATCAGTGTTTTATTTATTGACCAATCAGCAACACATTTGCCATACAGAACTTCCCACAATCCTGGGAGCCAGCCATGCTGTCCCTGGGTCAAATTGGGCACTAGTCGGCCTTTCTGGGGGACATCATTATGAGGCTGACTCTCCAGACGTCGCAAGCCTCTATCTTAGTCAGGGATTCTCTTGCTGTGACAAACTGCCATAACCCAAGCAGCTCAGAGAGGAAGGGGTTTGTTTGGCTCACACTTCCATGTCACTGTTCATCACTGAAGGAAGTCAGGACAGGAACTCAAACAGAGCAGGAACCTGGAGACAAGAGCTGATGCAGAGGCCATGGAGGAGTGCTGCTTCCTGGCTTGCTCAGTCTGCTTTCTTGTAGAACCCAGGGCCACCAGCCAGGGATGGCCCTACCCACAGTGGGCTGGGCCTGCTTCCATCAATCACTAATTAAGAAAATGCCTACAGGCTTGCCTACAGCTTGATCTTACAGAGGCATCTTTCTTCCTTCCTTCCTCCCTCCCTCCCTCCCTCCCCCTCCCTCCCTCCCTCCCTCCCTCCCTCCCTCCCTCCCTCCCTCCCTCCCTCCTTCCTTCCTTCCTTCCTTCCTTCCTTCCTTCCTTTTAAAGGCTGTATAAAGCCAGATTATGAGGGTGTTACAACCCGGGTGATCTGTCAAGGATCTTCAATGAGAAAGAAAAGAGCAATGATCTAAGAAAGCTTTCCATTTTGCATTCAGTATAACCATCACTAGTAATGTAACCATTTAGTTAACTATCTGTTAACCACCCAGAGAAGTCATTTAGACTTATCTCTCTACAAGAATCATACTGTGATTGCAATCTCTAGACCTGAGGTAACAAAACATGTTTATTAAAAAAAATATAGTAACTTTTTATTAAAACCACAGATTCTTAGTGAAATTAAGGCATGGGTCACTTTAGAAAGCCGTATGTGAGAACAGGGTTAATACAGCACCACAATAGGCTGGTGTACCATGACTGGACACCTTTTGGGTGTGCTCTTTGTGTCTTATTCTTTAAAACTCTGTTTCCTTGCATGGCACATGGTCGGATGACAGCTGATAGTTTATCATAAACACAAGCCTCCTGAGAGATGTTCCGAGTGATGTGTTCAATGCTAAAGTTATGGAAACCCTTCCCAAGGCCATAGTGGCATGCACACCCTTTCAACACAGCAACCTGCCACTGTCAGTGGCAGCTTACAGCTTCTCCAAGTTCTCTTCACGGAAGTCAGCCACAGCACTGTGGAGCTAGTGGCTCAGTATGAAACACATTCTCTCCAACACTCCTAATGGAATCAATCCTCTGTAAACACCACAAAATACATTGTCAACCCCGGTGACAGAGTTCCATGGCCTAAAAGGTGTAGCTTATATCTCGGTCATGGCTGCAGGACCAGAAAAACGAGCATTATGATGGGCTCCTGCATTCTTCAAACTGTGCTCATGGACAAAGTCAGTGTAGTTTCTGTGTGCAGTCCGGGGTGGGGGCAAGGTCCTTGTGTTCCCCTGGTTTCTGCCACATTGACAGTGGTCACTGGTAGCAGAGAGTCATTTCCTGTCGTGTTGGTCTGCTCAGAATTCTGTGGAAGGTTCTCTCTCTCCACCCGCAGAGGACCAGAGGATGAGGAAGGAGTCACGGGCTCAGGAGACCTTGCATCCCAAGCCTGCTGGGAGTCATTATTCTGGGTTGAAGCATTATGCACACCAAGATCTTCAGGTTCTGTTGTGCTTGCTCTCATCTGTAGGGGCTGTTGGGGGTATCACTTTCTGGCCCTTCTTGCAAAGGAGCCTGACCTTCTTGCTTTGTTAGTTGCGGTCCACTACTCTGTTTTTCCACTACATCTAAATCATGATCCTAGTCCAATGAATCCTGATCGATGAGAACTCTTTTGGACAGGTCCTTGGAGGCAGAGGAGGGCGTAGTCCTCTACAGAGCGTTTCTCTAAGTGTTTGCAAGCTTTGGATGAACCAGTCTGAAGACAAAGGCATGCTCTTGCTCTGCGCCCTGATCATCAGCTTCCACAACCACTGGAGTTAACTTATTCTTAAAATTCAATCTGGTTATCTTGGGCCAGAAAAATAAGTTGATTTTGGTTTCTCCTTCAAAAACAAGGACTCCTGTTGGACTTAGTTCCAAACTGGTCATTCCCATCTCTAGCCTTGAGCACATGCATATCAACTCCATATATTGCTGTCTAGTTGGCTTTCTGCAGATAATTTGTTTCAGTTTGTGCTGGAGTCTGACCTCTGTATTCCTCCCATTTCTCAAAAAAAAAAAAAATAGCCAATTCCATCTCTTCAGTCTGAATAGGCACAAACCTGAACTCAGAGATGAGTCCAGGACTATGTTTAGTGCATTCATAGTCACCAAGTTCAGCTTGCAGATTATAAGCTGCCAACTGAACTCCTGTACCACAGGGACAGTAATTTCCCTCTGAGAATATCTAGTTTTAACTGAAGAACAAATAAATACCGGGTTAGCTCCTCACGAAGATTATTTGGTTTCGAGGAATAAAACTTAACTCAAAGATGAAGACAATAGGGTGAACCATTTTTCACTTGCTTTTTGGCACTTTTTGTACCAATGTGCTACTTGGGCTGGATCCATGAATCTCAGACTCAACTTTCCATCAAGTCCAGATGATACATAATTTGATCAAACAGCTCTTGCCCTTTGGCTCTTTTTGGCAAGTCCCCACTAACCACAAGGGACAGCCTGCATGTGATGATGGACTTGGCGTCTCCGGCTGCAGGAATGTGTGTGCAGCACCCTGTGCCTCTCGAGTCGCTCCTTCTCGGCATGTTCACACAATAGACCGGGAGCCAAGCATTCACCATTTCTGCCACTGTGCTTGGGATGGTGGTGGAGGTGGTGGTGGTGGAGGTGGTGTTGGTGGTGGAGGTGGTGGTGGTGGTGGTGGTGTGGTGGTGGTGGTGGAGGTGGTGGTGGTGTGGTGGTGGTGGTGGTGGAGGTGGTGGTGGTGATGGTGGTGGTGGAGGTGGTGGTGGTGGTGATGGTGGTGGTGGTGATGGTGGTGATGGTGGTGATGGTGGTGGTGGTGGTGGTGGTGGTGGTGGTGGTGGTGGTGGTGGTGTGGTGGTGGTGTGGTGGTGATGGTGGTGGTGGTGATGGTGGTGGTGATGGTGGTGGTGGTTGTGGTGGTGGAGGTGGTGGTGATGGTGGTGGTGGAGGTGGTGGTGATGGTGGTGGTGATGGTGGTGATGGTGGTGGTGGAGGTGGTGGTGATGGTGATGGTGATGGTGGTGGTGGTGGTGGTAGTAAAGACCGTGTACTACAGAGACCACAATGACTAGCATTTGATCCCTGGGGAGAGGTGCCCATTTGGCTTGAGTGGAGGACGTGTCTCAGTCCTTTCAGATGACTTTAGCTAGTGACAAGTTGACATAAAACTATCCAGCACAGCCTTTGTCTTACAGCCAAGAGAGCTGCCAAAGAGCCCACTGAGGTAAAGCAAGCCTTCATTGACCCAGAACTCCTGATCTCACGAAGCAGCAATCAATCCTTTCGCAAACACCCAATCTTTAAAGACCCAGAAGGTAAGCGGCATGGTTCTCTCCAGCTCTATGGGATGGAGGTTTCAGGCGGGATAGGGCTGTCCCCATCATGCTTATCTGACTCACAGGAAAGCCTAACAAACCACACACTGCTTCTGGGTTCGAAGGCACTTCATTGGCTCAGCGGGAAGACAGATGTAGAGGTTGTTTTCTCAGTCTTCAGTCCCCTTGAACTCTGCAGGAAAACCCCAAGACACAGTGTTGGGAACTGACCAGAGGACAGCTGAGGGGAGTGCTCCCCAGATAATGTGGATCCCAGACCACACTAGCAGTGGCTATTTATTGGAGGGTCCTACAGTGCCTGCTTCAGGTGGGGGACTCAGAAGTGGGGCGAAAATCCTGAGCCTCTTCCCTGATGCCTTGTCTCTTTATCTTTTTCTTTTTCTTCCACACATAAGCAAACACAAGGGCAAACAAAAAGCTTGGGAGAATTAAACATCTATTCCTGAGAACTTGCCTTTTGCTGCATTTTAAGGAATTGGGGCCACTTTAAAGCAAAAGATGTATAGAAATACAAATTTGTCTGTGTTTGTTATCTGGTTTGGCCACAGAACAAGTTAGAAAATGAAGCAATTTGGCCTAAATATGGAAACTTGACTATAACAGAATTTTGTGCCTGGATTGGTTCTGCAGAGAGATGGGGACGGACCTTCAATCTTTTTCTGGTTTCTTTTTTTTTCTCTAATGAATCCGTTCTTGTTGTTCGCGGGTGTCATTTCAATCACAACATCTCTCCCTTCCCTTCCCTCCCTCTAAAGAATCTTCGGTTCTCCTCGGTGTTCAGATTCTGATGTCACTGTGCCGAACTCCACATGGGGATGGTTTGCAGGATTTGTTATCCTCATCATGAATGTACAACGATTCCTCTAACTTGGTCCTTGTTTGGAATGCTCTGGTCAGTGTTTATGTATGTTCATTTTAAATGTCTTAAAATTGTGAAAATTCATATATTTGCTATAATTTCCTTTTTCTTTTTCTGGTGGTGCTGGGGATTGGGCCTTGGGCCTGTGGCCACCCGGTACCGCTAAGCTTTAGCTCCAGCCCCTTGTAATTTTCTAAGGCAAAGGACAAGCTTGAAGACAACACAAGACTGCAGTTTGCAAACTGCTAACACAACAGTCACAGAGCCAAAGGGCCTGGGAATTTGTCCCAGAGAAAGATCGTGTTCCCAGCATTCCCAGGGGCAGTCACACAGCCCGCTGCTTTTTTCTTCCCAGGGAGTGCTTGTCTGTACCTCCCGGTTACCACAGAGATTAGAGGTGATGATGCCTGGCTTCCACACTACAGACTGAGATTCACTTCTTAAACTTGATCTGATCAGCTCTTCACAGAAATGCTTATGGCTTCAGCCTTGGAGGACAGGACCCCAGGTCAATGCTGCCTCATGGGAGTTCACAGTCTCTGTCACTTGTCATTATCTGCCTTTTTCAACACCGAGGGCACAGGGTAGGAGCTTGACCACAATTCAGAGAAGGGATAGAGTGTCAGTTAATTTTCTTCCCTTTGTCAGGAAGAGCTCCAGCAAGACACTAATACCACCTATTCCTGCCTGACTCTCCAGGGGGGCTATCCGAGACCCCACATCTCTGAGGGACTGGGCTGAGAACACAGTAAGTTCTAGGAATTTAAAAAAAAAGGGGGGGGGAAGGTGGGCCAGCCTCACAAGGGAGATAAGTCCTGTATGGATGGAACTGTGACCCACACATGTGCAAACTGGGAATGTGGCTTTGTGGGCAAGTGTGATTAAATGAAGGACTTCAGAACTCACCTGGAAGAGCAGCCAGTGTTCTTAACTACTGATCCATCCCTCCAGCCCCTGTACCATCATCCCTTTATCCTATCTCCACTAACGAGCACCCTGTGTGATTCTGTAAGTCGACTGTTTTGAATAGTGCAGCAGTAGATAGGGATGTGGTGTAGGGGTAGTAGATAATCTTATGATGGCTTGGATTCCTTTGACCAGGGATTGTACAGCTGGATCCTATGGTAGTTCTACTTTCAGGTTTTGTTTGTTTGTTCTATTTTTTAAGGAATTTCATACGGATTTCCACAGTGGCTGCATCAGATTCCTATCCACTATCCTCAATATTTTCCTCCCTCCCTCCCTTCCTTCCTTCCTTCCTTCCTCCCTTCTTTCCTTCCTTCCTATTTCCCTCCCTCCCCTTCTTTCTTTTTATTTCTTAAGATAGGGTGACATGTAGCCCAGATTGGCTTCAGTCTTGTTCTATAGCTGAAAATGACCTGGAACTCTTGATCTGCCTCCCAAACACTGAGATTACACAGTGCACTACTGTATTAGTCAGATTCTCTAGAGTAACAGAACTTACAGAATGAATCTCTCTCTCCCTCCCCATATATAGGAATATATATATATATATATATATATATATATATATATATATATATATATATATATATATATATGAATGAAGGGGATTTATTAGAATGGCTTACAGGCTGTAGTCCAGCTAATCCAACAATGGCTGCCTATGAATAGATGATTCAAGAATCCAGTAGTTCTTCAGTCCCCGAGGTTAGATGTCTCACCTGAACTTCAGATACACTGTAATCCCAAACAAGTAGGCTTTCTTGCCAGTGGAAGAATAGACTTGCTACTGAGGCAAGAGCAAGTAGGCACAAAGCAAAGCTTCCTTCTTCTACGTCCTTATACAGGCTTCCAGTGGATGGTGTGGCCCAGAGTAGATGTGGGTTATTCAGCTCAAAAGACCTGAATAAAAGATGTGGCTTCCCACCTCAAAGATCTGGATTAGAAGTAGATCTTTAAATGAAGCAAAAGTCCCTCACAGGTGTGCCCCTCCATTTGGGGGTTTTAGTTAATTCCAGATATGGTCAAGTTGACAACCAAGACTAGTCACCACAACTATGAAGTCTGGTGACAGCCGTTGTGACCAAGATGGGGCAAGATGTGATCTTGGTTATTTGATTTGCATTTTCCTGACAGAAACATTCTGAACATTTTCCGTATATTAGAAATTCTTAAATTACATTTATTTGTGTATACACGTGGGTGTGTACATATCATGGCATGCGTGTGAAGGTCAGAGGGCCACTTGAAGGACTTAGTGTTCACCTCCCACAAGATGGGTCCTAAGGACCAAACTTAAGTTGTGAGGCTTGGTGGCAGGCACCATTATCCATTGAGTCATCTCACTGACCCCATTTTTCTTATGTATTGGTGATTTGCGATGTTGTTGTGGTTGTTGTTTAGGTCTTGAGATGCAGCCTCACCCTGTAGCCCAGGCTAGCCTCAACCTCCAAATGCTAAGATTGCAGTCATGAGTCACATGCCTGTTGTGGTTGTTGTTTAGGTCTCGAGATGCAGCCTCATCCTGTAGCCCAGGCTAGCCTCAACCTCCAAATGCTAAGACTGCAGTCATGAGTCACATGCCTGTTGTGCACTCCACGTGAGAACTGGTTATTCTGCTGATTTGTGCATTATTGAAAGGAGTGCTTGTTCTTCTGATTATACTTTTGGGGTTCTTCATGTGTTCTGCATATTAATCCCCTGTCAGATGACTGGCTGCAAAGATTTCCCCTCATTCCACAGGCTGTTTTCATGGTGTTGTGTAGCTGTAAGTTTCTCCAGTCCTGCCTGGCCCCGCGGTCGGGACAAATCTCTCCCACCCATGTCCCATAGCCGCGTGGTCCCCAGTAAACACACAGAGGCTTATATTATTCATAAACTATATGGCCTATGACTCAAACTTCTGGCTAGCTAGCTCTTTCATCTTAAATTAACCCATTCCTATTAATCTATCTGTTGCCATGTGGCCGTGACATTACCAGTCTGCTAGCATCTTGTTGCTCCTTTGGCGGTGGCTGGAGTCTTCTCCACCTCTGCCTTTCTTCTTCTTGTCTCTCTCTTGGATTTCCTGCCTGGCTATAAGCTGACTCACCATAGGCCAGAGAAGCTTCTTTATTAACCAATCATAGCAACACATATTCACAGCGTACAGAAAGACCATCCCACAGCAGTGTTGTTTCCCTGCCGTGCAGAAGACTTTCAGATGGACATACTCCACTTCCAGTTATTGATGTCGCTGGCAGGCCCTGAAGTCTTGGCAGATCATCTTGGTCTGTGCCATTCCCTTGAGATGCTTCCCTCTAGGACTTCCAGTTTCCCACATTGAAGTCTTCTATGAGTTGTCAGTTGCTTTGTGTGCAGCGCGAGAGACAGAGATGACTCTCACATCCGTCCCTCTACACGTGGATATCCAGTTTCCCCAGGTCGTTTGCTGGAGTCTGTCTTTTCTTCTGCATGTCCCTGTGGTGCGTCTGTTGGGAATCAGGTACTGTGGCTGTGTGGGCTCATTTCCGGGCCCTCTGTCCTGTCCCATCTGTCTAGGTATGCCAATAGCTTGCTGGCTTTTTTTTTCTTTCTGTGACTCTATGGTGCAATATGAAATCAGATATGATGATTCCTCCAGCATTACTCTTTTGTTCAGGATTGTTTTGGCTTTTCTGGATCTTTAGTATTTCCATATGAGTTTCAGGAGCATTTTTTTCCTTGAGAAATACTGATTCTATAGAGCCTCCGTTAGGTTTGCTTGTTACATAGCAAAAACTGACGTATACAGTCTCTCAGGAAGCTGACCAAGAGGAATGTGACAGGAGAGGGCAAAGCCAAGGTCCCCATTCAGGAAGTTCCTACCCTGGGCACTGTAGTCAGCTGAGATCCTTCCAAGGAGCTTCAGGCCCGGGCAGCATTTCAGCTAATGTGCTCTTCCTGAACAGCCTCACCTGAGTACAGCAGGAGTCTCTCTCCAAGTGTTACTGTAGCTCGAGGCTCTTCCCACTCAATCTCTCCTAGTTCCTTCCTCCTCCGTTCGCCAGCCTGTACTGTGAGCTGAAGGCCTCCCCTCCTGCTTGTCCTCCTCTGTGTCTTCCAGAGAAGCACCCCTGAAGCACTTGTACTTCCGACTCCATCTCGGTAGCTGTTTTGCTGAGGGCCCAAAGCCATACAGCAGAGACCGAAGAACTCCATGGAAAGATTTGGCTCAGTCCTGACTACCTCAAGATGGACAGTGGTAGTTTTTACCTGGAGAGGGCGGAGAAGAGTTTTTCAACTGATTTCAAATCGGTCTCTGGATGGCTTCTCATGAGGGCACACTGTAGAGGAAGAACTTGGATAGTTTTCATGCTCCCCCCCCCAAGACAGATGGGAAACTAAGGTTATGGCAGAAAGTGAACCCAAAACAAACTGTCCTGCAAGTGTATGGCAGGTGTTTGGTTCTCTCTTAGTTACCATGATATACCTCCCCTCCCCTCCGAGTTATAACGCCATCTGACCAGAGCTGGAATTGGCCAGTTGGAAATAAAGAGCAGGCAGGTAGAGCTATCCCGATTCTGGTTGGCTTTGGCTGCAGGAAGATGGTCTGGGAGGAGTTTGAGGCATGCTCACACTGCAGCAAATGAGATGGCTTCATGCTGGGGAGGCTCAGAGCTAACACAAGAGAGTTTCCTTGAGCCCAAAGTGGAAGAGCTGCTGGCGTTGACCTGTACAGTCTGCTCCTCAAGTGGGTCATGGGGGTAGATACGCATGGTCTCTGTGAGGCCCTGGGTCAGGATGCACTTCCAAGGAAAAGAGTTATCAGTGGGCTACTAATGCCATAGACAGACAGACAGCCTGATTAGGAGTGTGAAGAGACAGAGCGGGGTTCCTCTTATTTCTGAGAAAGGAACAAGGTCCCATGTCGCATAAGTAGACCATAGGATGTAGTTGCAGGCTGCTTGTCCCTGGCTGCTGTGTGTCTTTTGCATGGGATGGTCACCGGCAGCCCTCAGCTTCTGGGGGGACCCAGCACACTTTTGAGGGAGTCAGAACTAAGGCATCGAAGCGGATCGCTTGTCTAATTTCTGCAGCAGTGAGGACCGCAGAGGCACCAAGCTTCTGAGGCAGGGAGACTGAAATGAGCAGGGTCTGAGCAGGGCCTGACCTGGGATCCAACATCCAGTTCACGACCACCAGGACCTGGGAAGAATCAAGGTGAGGCAGGAGTCACACCTGGACTCAGGTACCCTGCTCCTCATTCACTTCAGAACGGGGCCTCCAAGACTGGGAGGAGAATGGAGGGCATGCAGTGCCCCAGGTAGAGAGGCTGCCAGTCTCAATTCCTCTCCTGGTTCCTGCCTCTGCTCTCCACTGTTCCGCCTCTCACACTCCTTTGGAGCAGGAATAGAACTCTGGTTCTTCAGACCTGCAGGAGTCTGGGGACGTGGAGACACGGCTAATGTGCAGAATTCACGTCTTCTTTCTCAGTCACCTGCATGCATGGGTAAAACCAACTGTAAGACACTGTGACCTTGGAAATCTGGGGACCCTGAGACCTGTGGGGAGCCACAGACGCGTCCCCCTGGTGGCAGCAAGCTCCCCGGGAAGATGTCAAGAAGGAACTCAAGAGAAGGATAAAACTGGGAAGAGGCCACCTGCGGGGGGAGAGTGGGTGCTGTGTAAGCCTGGGTGTCATCTCAGAAGGGACACCCGCTGCAGATGTCAATCCCCAGTGTCAGGCCTGGATGGGTTCCCAGTATACTTTGCCAGTTCATTTTCAGACCAACGAACAGTCCCCAAGAGGAAGAGAGCAGCCTGGCTTCCCTCCCCTGCGCAACTGAGACCTGATGCTCTGGACATGTGACACACTTGATGAGCTGGGGACCAGGCTGCACTATTACCGCTTGGCTTGGCACACAGTAGACCCAAAGGCCGAGAAGAGAGAGGGTCTCCATGCAAGCGGATCAAAGGCCAGTGAGGTCCCTGTGATGGCATGGGTATTTTGGAAATAACCGAGACTGTCGCTTAACAAAGTGGCCCTGCTGCTGCTTTCAAATCTGGGAGTTCCAGGCTTCCCTGAGCACATTTTCTGTCTAATTCTTGAAGTCTGGCTATGTCTTCAAGACTTGAATTTTCTAGTTCCTCTCTGAGCCAATTTGTTTGTTTGTTTGTTTTGGTTTTGTTTTTCAAGACAGGTTTTCTCTGTGTAGTTTTGATTCCTATTCTGGGTCTCTTTGTGTAGACCAGGCTGGTCTCGAACTCACAGAGATCCACCTGGCTCTGCCTTCCAAGTGCGGGGATTAAAGGCGTGCGCCACCATCACTAAATTTTAAGGTTTGGACTCTCACAGTGGAAGTCAGATCTGAGCGCTTGTAGATCTCTGTGACCAGCAGGTGGCACCATAGCCTCATTCCTACGGGCTTCAGGCTATCACCGGTGGTTTATCTGGGAGTTGGGAGGAAGGGACTCCCCCGACCGGACGGATGCTGCTACTCAGCAGATTTTATTAGTGACTCCAGCTCCTCCCCATGGCCTTCGGGATAGCTAAACTGAGTCCCAGAAGGGACGCTGCACCTGGTTCGTTGCCCCCAGCCCTAAGGAGATTCTGAGGGTTTTTCTTTTTTAAACCTTTACTCCCTCTCTAAATTGGAAGCAGTCAGTTCTGCTAAGAGGGAATCAGCGCTGCGGTCTGTGTGTGAATGGAGGAGGGCAAGGGGAGGGTAGTTTAGAGGTCAGATGCCTGCCTTTGGAGCCTCCTGCGGCAGACCCTCCCTGACCTAGGGGCAGCCATCTTTAATGTCACTGTAACTGTAGCCCTGTTTGTGGTCATGTGCACAGACCATCCATCCACCACTCATTCTTTCCCGGAGCAGTCACTGGGTCCCAGATGCCGACTTGGCATTGACCTCGAGGAGACATGAACTTAGGGATGGGGAGGCAGACCCTTAAACACAGGCAAAGAAGTCGGCCCATGGCATCGAGCAGAGAAGGGCATCTCTCTCCAGGGACCGTCAAGGAGAACCACTGGCCTGGGGTTTTATGGATATCAGCAGAGGAGGCCACCCGTGATGAGGAGATAGGGAGCTAAAAAATACTGCACACAGTAGTGAATGATCACAACCCTTCTCAGGCCACTTGGGTGGCTGTGGGGCAGGTGACCAGCAGGTGGACTGTACTGAGGGGGGCAGAGACAAGGAGACCAGTCCCGCAGTCCGGGTGTGAGCTGGGAGGGGCGCCACGCAGGGAGTGAGACCAGGCGGAGAAACAATAGGTTTCTTACAGTAGGTTTAGTGAGTTTTCCCATCACGTGGTGAGTTCAGCAGCAATCACAACAGTTAACATTTATTGAGTACTTGTTATAGACCAGGCACTTCTGAAGCATGTTACATGTGCTTTCACCTGCTCCCGACTCAATGAGGTAGGGCCTATTAACATGGAGGAGACACCTGAGTCTCAGAGCTGTACGCCTGGAGTCAGGATTTGAGCCAAACAATACCCTAGTTAGAGCCCACGACCTCCCTGCCCCTCCCCATGGGTACCGCAGCCTTACAGCAGAGTGTCAGGAGGGAGGCCAGGCCCTCGCCTATGATGTCTGCTGGAGGTCAAATGGCTGAGACAGCCAGACAGACTGAGAGTTAGTTAGTAAAGGGAAAAACCTGAGGGGGAAGGATGGAGTCCTCCTGAGGCAAGGGGAGAAGAGCCAGCGTGCCTGTCCTCCCTGCCAGGGCTACGTCAGGTGGCAGATGCTGGCAGTGCCCTGTTTTTTCCAGCATCCTGCCCACTGCCTCCCCACAAGAAAAGCCCAGAGTTCAGGTCACAGACAGGAGGCTTTATTGACAATGGGGCAGTGGAGTTCTGGGCAAGGACATACGGCACTGCTCTGAGAATCCAGGCTCATGTCAAGCCCAAGGGCCTCTGCCTCGGGGACCTCTCTTCACTCATCACTGAACTTTCCAGTATTTCTTTTTCTAGCAACGGAGACAAGCCATCCCTACCCACCAACATCCTCCAGACAAAGTGACTCACAGCTACCCATGGGGAGCCAGGAGCAGAGTTTTGCCTGAAGTGAGTTTTGTATGGCAGGCACAGGCCCCTTCTCAGCCTCTCAACCAGGCACCTCAGTGTTTGCCCAGCACCCCAATTCCCAGCTTCTCAGGGTGGCGACAATATGAGGCAGAAGGCTGGAGTCGAGGCTGAAGGACAGGGACACCTCGTGTCCCCTGTCATTTTTCTGCAGCTTTGTCCCCTTCTGGCACAAGTCTGCCCTGTGAGGGGAGCCTAGCAAACATATCCGGCCTGTCTGTGCGGCCCTCGGCTCCCATGCTCTGACACCGACCTCCTCCCCTGACTGGCAGGATTCTTCAGCTATCACTTTGACAAAGCATGAACAGAGCTGGAGGCTGGCCAGGTATTTCTTAGTGGCTACAGAAACAGCAGTAGACGCCCAACTCGGGGGTTGCTTTTCCCCAGTTACCTGTCTGCTGTGGCAGGGTGAATCACGAAGGCCCAAGACTGGCTTTGAGACCTTAGCTTTAGGAGCCCTGAACCTTCTCTAGCCTCCGCAACAGTGGGCAGGGAGACAGGGGAAAGCCGGTCCTGAGCCGGGCCTGGGAGGAGCAGGAATAAAAATAACCCGGTACAGGCTCCTGCTGGGACCAGAAATAGCATGGTGACAAGTGCCTTGTAACACCCCAGGCACCCAGCAGCAGGGAGGTTGAGCCAGGAGGGTCTTGTCTCACACCAGACCCTCACCTGGCCGAGGGGCTCGCACCCCATCCACTCTACATACCATACTTTACTCTCCATGTGCTCACCTAAGTGAGTAGGGGCCTGAGGGACCGCAAACTCAGGACAGGGAATCCGGAGAGATGCTAAACTTGGGCTTGGCCTTCGCCACAGCCACACTGCGCTTGCGCAGGGGCCCTCGCGCAGAGGCGAGGGTCAGGGCATCCAGCAGGCTGCGGTCCTCATCAAGCTGGCGAGCTGTACAGAGTGGTGTGGGCACTTTAACGGTGTTACCAAATTTGGAGTAGTCCACAGAATAGCGGCCGTCCTCCTCGGCCACAATGGGGACGAAGCGTTGCCCCCACAGAATCTCGTCAGCTAGGTAGGAGGTGCGGGCCTGGGTGGTAATGCCTGTGGTTTCTACCACGCCTTCCAGGATGACAATGATCTCCAGGTCTTGGTGGTGGTGCAGGTCACTAGGAGCCAGGTCGTAGAGAGGGCTGTTGGAGTCGATGACGTGGTAGATGATGAGCGGGGCCACCAGGAAGATGCTGTTACCACCCACGCCATTCTCCATGGGGATGTCCACCTGGTGGAGAGGCACGACCTCACCCTCGGGGCTGGTGGTCTTGCGCACCACCTGCATGTGGATGGTGGCGCTGATGATCATGCTCTTTCGGAGGTCCCCCACGCGAAGCATGAAGCAGAGGCGGCCATGGCGCAGGGTGATCACAGCATGCTTGCTGAAGATCAGGGTTTCTGCTCTCCGATGGGCCTGGGCTGTCTTCATGAAGATGCAGCCCAGCATGATGGCGTTGATCATTAGCCCTACGATATTCTGCACGATGAGAATAAGGATGGCCAGGGGACATTCTTCCGTCACCATGCGCCCACCGAAACCAATGGTCACCTGAACCTCGATGGAGAAGAGGAAGGCGGATGAAAAGGAGTGGATGCTCGTGACGCAGGGCACAGCGGTGCCCTCTCCGGGGGCCAGGTCGCCGTGGGAGAAGGCGATGAGCCACCAGACCATGGCGAACAGCAGCCAGCTGCACAGGAAGGACATGGTGAAGATGAGCAGCGTGTGGGGCCACTTGAGGTCCACCAGCGTGGTGAACACATCCTGCAGGAAGCGGCCCTGCTCTCGAATGTTCTTGTGGGCGACGTTGCAGTTGCCTTTCTTGGACACGAAGCGGGCCCTCCTCTCCCGAGCACGGTACCTGGGCTCTGTAGGGTCCTCTGCCAGCCGGGTCAGCACATATTCCTCAGGGATAATGCCCTTTCGGGACAGCATGGCTCCGTTGGCCCCAGGAAGGGGCTTCTCCCATGGGGGGCACTGCGCTGACTTGGCCTACGGCCTCTCTGTGGGACCCCCCTCTTAGAGCTCTCTCCTCGGGCTACCCTAAACTTGGACCAACCTTCGCCTGATATGCCCCCAGCCGGATCCTGCTTCTCCTTTACACCAGCTTCAGAAGCCGGCTCCACCTGCTCAATGCTTACTGAGCCCCCAACCCAGCCTGCGCTCTGCCTGGCCCTGGATCCCGGCTCAGCTATCTACCACCACCCCTGGACCTCCTCTGAACTCCCTTTCCCTGGTCCAGCCTTTCTTCTCAAAATACCTCAGAACTTATCACCTCCGGGTCTTCCAGTTCACCAGCCCTCACTCGATCCCCGCTGATCTCCGGCCTCACCCACTCTGCCCGCCCTGTCCGCCCCCCAAGCCCCAGCTTCACTTCTTGACCCAGTCTCCCCTCCAGGTGTGTCCCGGATTTCCCACCCACCCCTCCCCTAGCGCCCCCGCCGCTCTCCGGATGCTTCTCCAGCTCTCGTCCTCTCTGTCTCCTTGGGATCCCGCGCCCTTCGAGTCACCCCGCAACCGGCTGCGCTGGGGATCCCCTCGCCCCCCGCCGCCCAGGCCCCGCTGGCTCCGGGTCGCGGCCTCCCTGCTGCCCTGCCGCCCGCCCCGCGGTCCCCACCGCTGCGTCCCCGCCCCGCCTGTCGCCGCCGCACCTGCTCCTGCTGCTCAAGCCGCGGCCACCTCCCTGCCCCCTCCCACTCCGGTGCTCACTCCCGGCCGGCTTCCCGGGCGTGTGTCTGTGTGTGCGACGGTCCTCGGGCGCCGACCCGTGCGCGGTGGGGGTGGGAGGCTGCGGGCGGGGGGCTCCCGGGAGCAAGTGCAGCCTCCGCCGCCAGGGGGCGCCCGATGGCCTCCCGAGCGGACGACTGGGGCGGGCCTGGCCGTAAGCCCCGCCCACAGAGGACTCTGGTCCCACCCTCGCCTGCTGTCATCCTCAGCCCCGCTATAGGGCTTTCTTCAAATGGATGGCTCCCAAGAAGTTCCTTTTGTGAAATTCTCTATGTCCGGCTCAGCAGCCGCTGGATCCCTGACTTCTATTTCCCCCGGTCCGTAGTTGGGTCATACCTGCCTCTCACGCAGCACTCGATTCCCAGGGAAAGTAGGCAGTGAGAGGTTTCACCATCGATCCTGGGGCTGGTGAGATAAAACATTAGCCTCAGGACTGCTCAACTGGCGATTCTTCCATTTGGGGGTTATTCTTGACCCTACATTTGTCTATCTATCTATCTATCTATCTATCTATCTATCTATCTATCTATCTATCTATCCTTGAGACAGGATTTCTTGTAGCCCAGGGTAGCCTCAGGACTTCTCAACTGACAATTCTTCCATTTGGGGGTTATTCTTGCTGCTACATTTATCTATCTATCTATCTGCCTGTCTGTTTATCCATCATCTGTCTATTTATTTATTTGCCTGTTTACCTATTTGAGACAGGATTTCTTATAGCCCAGGGTGGCTTCAAGGTGCTATGTAGCAGAGGATGACCTTGAACTTCTGATCCTCCTGCCTCCACATCCAGAGTGCTGGGATTGCGGTGCAGAACAAGGCCCTGTCTGCCACCCCTGAATTTTAAGAGGATCGGTTCTGCCAGCATTCACTTTGCACTCTGTATGGCTTCACCCTGATTTCGTCCTCTTTAGCCCTGGGGTGTGTGTGGGGGGGGATCTGGGCCTGAGCAGCCATTTTAGGGCTAGCTTGGGCACAGAGTGGGTGGCCCAGGTTATTGTCAAGAACAGTGTTGAGGTTTCCATCGCAGATGCTACCCTAGAGTGGCCCCTGAAGGTTGCTGGGCCACCTGTAATGTAATGGCCTGCTCTGGGGCTCAGATCCTTTGAGACAAACCCCTGCCCCCTGTGTAGCTTGAGTGAGGGCTTGAGGCAGGGGCTAGAGTGATAGTGGTACCGGGAATTCGGGCCACCATGGAACATTTTCACACTGAGTAGAGGACTTTCAGAGAGAGTTGTCCTTCCTTCTCTCCAAATCACCTATAGGTTGAATGGACCCTGCTACAAAGAGGGAGTGAGGTCACTACTACAGTCATGGGCCTTGTGCCTAAGGCAGGGAACATAAAACAAGTTGAGTAGAGAACAGAAGTTCAAGGACACAGTTACACAAGAAATCTCTGAGGCCACTTCAACTTTTAGCCATCAAAAAAGGACCATGGGAGGGCTCCAGGGATTTTGGACATCTTTGCAGAAGTCCCTGGGGGTAAAGGAGGAATGACTGGTAGGTTTGCTTGGCCCACGGGTAATACCAGGATAGAGCAGAGCAGAGGCAGGCTTTGATTGACATGTGCAAGAGCCTGTTCTGATAACAGTGACCGGAGACGGGCCACACGGTGCAGATACAAGTCTGAGTTGGTGGACCGCCAATTGGATCATGATGGAGGAATTTGGACCAGGATGGCCTTGGGCATGCTCTTCTTCTGCTGCTTCCTTAGGGTGTGGAGTCCTTCCCTGGCAGGGCAGAGTCCCTTAACCCTCCCTGTGTCTGTTCCTGGAAGTCCAGAGTGGAAGGACCTGCTGGGCCCACAGAGGCAACTTAGGGCTGGAAAGGCAGGCCCTGTCCTTCAGTATGGCCTTAGCTAGTCGCTGCCCCAGGAGGAGGAGGCTGGGTGTCTTGTCCAAAGGGCTCAGCATCCTGTCTGATTCCCCATCGCTCACAGCCACCTCCCCACACTGTCCTTGTCAAGTCCTTTCCCCCAGAGGCCCATCCCACACGCACGGTCCTAACATTAAGGGTCTTCGGTGCCTCCCTACTGCCCGTATCCCCTCCACACCCCCACATGAACCACTCGGCACACCCACTTCCCGTCATTCCTTCACTCTTGCTGCAGGATCCCTGCCTTTCTCTCCACCCCTCTGTCTTTCTGATTATCTAATTTCTTCCCTCCTACTTCCAACACGAATCCTGCCTTTCCCAGGCAGCCTGCCAGGCTGAGCACTCCCTTGAGTTCCTCTGGCTCCTGTGCTGGGCTCCCTCCGGTGACTGGTGAACTTTCCCTTATCTTATGGTGCTCTGGCCCTCCTGCAACCCCAGGGTCTCATACCCCAGACAGTACTGTAGACAGTACACAGCTTATAGCCAAATGATATGTAAATGAGCACCTGCCATTTCTTGGTGGAGAGGGTTCCATTCCCGTCCCCTGACACAAACAGGGTTGGGACAAGCTGTTGTTTTGGTCTCCTGGTGCCTCTGGTCCCTGGCATCTCTGGCCCACCACCTGGCTGACTTGTACAGGGACTGCTCAGCGACCACCCTCCTCCCACTTCCGAGTGCTTGTGGGGTGGAGGAGGGAGGCGGAGATAGTAGAATGAGGTCCAGGCCTAACCAGCGGAGTATTCCAGACCTCTGCCAGATGACTGGGTGGGGGTGGGGGTATGAGCAGGTGGGCCACTGAGATCCGGTGCTAGGACTGTATTGGAGTATTGGGAAAGAAAACCTCCTTTTCCTCCTGGTTGCTCCAGGACAGGATGCAAGCTAAAGCTACTACTAGTCATCTGTCACCAGACAGAGAGAAAGGAAGTGGGATTCAGAAATGGAGGCACCATCCTGATGTCAGGAACCGGGAGTAGCATTCCTCCTGGTCACTTCTGGTCAGTCATATATACCACAGCGGATTCATGTTCTTGTTTAAGCCATGGTGAGTTCCTGTTAGTGGAGATGCTGGGTGCCAGACCCCACGATTATAACCCAGGCGAGCAGGACAGAGTCCCAGCTGGATGGAGACCTGCTCCTTTCTCTGATGGGGCCGTCACTGAGTCATTACCACCCTTGCTGTGGACTGAATTCCATCCCTGAATTCACAGGAGGCAGTCCCCAGCTACATTTATTGGGGGCCAGGGCCCATGAGGAGGTAATTAAGGTTCAGGGAGGGTGTGAGTGGGAGCTAATCCAATATGACTAGTGACTTAGAGGAAAACACAGAGGGGTGTGGAGAGGGGGGAGGGGGACTGAGAGGCGGTGAGGACACAGGAAAAACCAAAGCAGCCAACACCTTGATTTTGACTCTCAGCCTCCAGGACAGGGAGAAACACATTTTTGCTGTGAAAAGCCACCCAGACTATGGCATTGTGTTACGGCAGCTGGAGCTGCCTGCCACAGGTCAGGAACACGGTTTTGCCTCTCTTCACACGGCTTCTTCACGTTTGCTTGGTTCCAAAGGCAGGCTGGTTCCCTGCACTCACAGGGCACCACTGCCCCTTCTACAGAGCCAGGGCCTCCAGTAGCAAAGAATTAATTTATTTACAAGTGATTTACAGTTAGAAATCCTAGGCAAGCAAGTGATGTGTGGGGTGGCACTTTGGCGCCGGCAAGTCACTTGTCCGCACGGACAAAGGAGGCGAACACGCTGTCCTTCTGGCTGAGAAGCGTCTCCGGCTTGTCAAACTCCAGGATAGCACCTCTCTTCAGGACCATCACCAGGTCTGCACTTAGGATGGTGTGCACACGATGCTGGGTGGGTATGAGGGGCTGCTTAGCGTGGTGGCAGGAGGGCCGAGGAGCCCTGTGCTCCCCAAGCCTCGAGGAGATTCGTGACTCTGCCCCACTCTCCACTTCTTTTCTTGGAGCCCTGACAGACTGGAGGCTAACTATATAGTCAAGGACAAGCTTGAACTCTGCTCGCCCTTCCCGAGTGCCAGGATTACAGGGCCACCACCACACCCCATCCCTGCGGTGCTGGGGACTGGCTCCGTATCTGCAGGAAAGCACTCTTCACAGCCCGGCTGTGTCCTGTCTGAGGTGCCGGTTCCAACCTGGGGTGGCTGGGCCCCAAAGCCTCTACCCTTCTCTCCTGGATCAAGCTTTAGCTCTGCCCCGATCACCAGGCTTTAAGACTTAGAGACTCTTTCCCCAGGCTCCCACTTTCAATGAGAAGCAGCCCCCAGCCTAGCTCACAGGGTTTTAGGGAAGGATGTATCTTGGAATCCAGAGAAATTGGGGCAAGTCATGAGGCAAGTAAAGGTGTAACTCTCTAGACACCTCAAAATTCTGCTCTGCCCTCCTGCCACCCTCTAGAGTCCCTGTCGTGAGTACTCTCGGATCTTTTCCTGCCTACAGCAATCAGTCCGCTGGCCCCAGAGGTGAGCTTTCCTCCACACACTAGCCAATGGCCCCTTACCGCGATGGTGACCACCGTGCGGTCTGCGAAGGCCGTCATCACCACCTTCTGGAGGATGTTTTCCTGTCAGGGGGAGGGAGGTAGTTGGTGGCTCATCTGCTCCGTGGATGGGGTTGGGGATGGTTCTGGGAACACGGGGCCCAGCTCCCATCCACCCCAGCTCCTAGCTCTACGCCCAGCTTCTCTCTGGCTCTAGTCCCAGAGGACTGACCGGGCTCTCGACACTCAAGGGCTGGACTTGCCTTTGCCACATAACCCTTGATGTGACTGTCAACCTGAGGCTTAAGACCAACTCTATACCAACTGCTCCCTGACCTGCCGGCCCAGGACCAACCGTAGCCATGTCGATGGAGGCAGTTGCTTCGTCCATGATGAAGATGCTCGTCTTCCTCACAAAGGCCCGAGCTAGGCAGAACAGCTGCCTCTGGCCCTGGCTAAAATTCTCCCCTCCTTCTGTGATGATGGCATCTGGAAGCAGACACAGGAGGGGCAGGGCCCAGTTAATTCTGGCTGTGAGTAGAGTAGTCCGTGGCTTGTGAGTTGTAAGGGGGTAGATGCACAGGGCCCACGTGTGTGGCTGTCAGTGTGTGTGCAGGAATGAGGTATCTGATACAACAGGGCTTCCATTTGCATGGAAACAACATGCGGTGGCCATCCTGGTGCTGTGCACTTCTGGGGCCCTGGGCAATCCTGGTGAAGCCTGGGCCAGAGGATGAACCAGTGATGTCAAAGCTGGTCTAGCCCCGCCCCCCCCCCCCCCCGTGCCTACCCCATGGCTCTGACTGACCCTGGACTGGAGCAGCATCTTCTCCATAGGCTGTACGATGAATGTCTTGTAGCTGTGTCCACTATGACTCCCCCAGGGCAGGCCTGAAGATACACTGTGGTGTGGGGGACCTGCAATCTATCTCCCAGGGACCCTGAACGTCCCTCTGTGCCAGACTCTGAGCTAGGTGAGTTGTGTGACCAGAGGCAAACTGTTTTGACCTCTGAACCCTGCATGGTGAAAGGCGGGACTACACCGTCACTGAGTTCTAGCTAGATGTGGGGCTCCAAACTCGGGGCTCGTCTTAGCTATGGGTGGGAAGCCTGCCCCGCCAAACCCATCTGGTGCGAGGATCAGTCACCCAGGCCTCCGGGCAGCGCCTTCACCACCAGCTTCAGCTGGGCGATCTCCAGAGCCTCCCACAGGGTGCTGTCTGAGCATTTCTTCTCTGGGTCCAGGTTGAATCTGGGGGGAGGCAGAGGGAGCCCTCAGGGAGCAGGGTTCTGCCTCCACCCACAGGGCAGGGCTTGTGGAAGCGTGCTGGGAAGGGCACACTGAGGAGGCGGCAGCCAGTGGAGCACTCGGAAGAGCTGGCGCGGGGGGTGGGGTGGGGGACCCACAAGTGCCTGCTGCAACCTAGCGAAGAAGACTGTGAAGGTGACCTTCCTCTGAGACCTCCCCATCTGTGCTCAAAGCTGGCCCGGGTCGAGAGTGCAGGCTCTCACCGGATGGTGCCACTGAAGAGGACGGGGTCCTGTAGGATGATGGACAGGCGAGAGCGTAGTGTGTGCAGCGGCAGCTTGGCGATGTCAATGCCATCGATGATGATGCGCCCTGTATGGTGATGATGTCATAGGTCAAGTGCCACCAGGGTGGGAGTGGTGCTGGGACAAGATCCCAGCGAGGATACAGAAATGCAATGACGGTCACGGGGTTTCCTGTGACATTCCCAACCAGAGGCCAGGGCTGAGGTCTTGCCTGGTGGCTGTGGGCACATACATACGTACATGCGTGGCAGCTAACACACAAATCACCTTCAAACATATCCACCATTCGGAAAAAGGCCAGAGAGAAGGAGGACTTCCCGCTGCCTGTGCGGCCGCAGATCCCAATCTGGAAGCAGAGAAGCAGATGCACCCTGTGGCCCTGGGGTACGCATGGATGTGGGAGGTCACAGCGCTGTGGCCCTGGGGTGTGTACTGGTGTGGGGGTCACAGCGCGGGTCAGAGGTGGGCTGTGAGGAGGGGTGTGAGCACAGGATTCAGAGTGCTGGACAGTGCTGCACAGCCTCTCTCTCTGCCGGAGACCTCTGCTCTGAAGCTCCAGGAAACGCAGCAGGGAGAGCCACGGGTCCCCTGCAGGGAAGCGGCCTGACAAAGCCCCTAAACCAAGTCCTAGATGTCTGCTTCTGGGGTGGGTGGGCCTGAGGGTAGGAAGAGGACCGAACTGTTGCCCACCCGTGGGCTCCCACCCCAGCTGACCTTCTGTCCTGGGGAGATGAGGGCATTGACGTGCTTCAGCACAGGCTTCAGGGAGCTGTCATAGCGCACACTCAGGTTCTGAATTTGGATCTTCCCTTGGTCTGGCCAGTTCTTGGGGATCAACGACGGTGCTGAGGGACAGGCCCCATGGGGGTCAGCCACCAGGCGTAGGCCACTTCTAGCGCCCAGAAAGGCCACCTCCCGACTCTGGAGATAGTCTCTGCAGGCTCTCACCCAGGAGGCCCTCATAGTTCTCTGCCTCGGTTTTCAGGAGTGCGTGGATCCGCTTCACAGCTCCCAGTTGGATCTCCATGTCCGCCAGGTTCCTCACCATCCAGTTGAGGTAGTTGGAGACCTACGGGGGGGCCAGCTGGTCACAGCTGCTCAGTGGTCGCCACTTCCCCCTTGGCCTCCCAGATGACTCTCCTTACTCTCAGGAGGATGAGGAGCCCCTGGAAGCCTTTCGCTGCCCACCAACTGCCTGAGCACAGTGGCAACCTGGAGCCACGAGAGGCTACAAAGCCAACGGCTCCCCACCCACCACATCCAGCAAAGCCTAGGTGGATGCGCACCATCTCTCCCACATCTCAGTTGAGGACAGTGCCCTGGGTGCCCCAGCCCACGGCCGCTCACCATCAAGGCATAGGTGAGGCCCAGGCCCACCAGGCCGGCAGAGAGCTCCCTGTGCAGAGAGTTGGAGATGGAGGTGGCAGCCGCGATGAGCACCACACACGCTCCGATGTACTCCTGAGGAAGGACAGCAGCTGGCCTGGGCTGTTGTGGGTCCAAGCCATAGGTGCCTCTCATTCTGCCTCACCCTTGGGGCAGAGAGCAGCTCAGCCAGCCTGAGCCCCAGCTCCACACTCACAGAGCAGACACACGAGGAGCTGGTGGGAGCTGAGGCCCAGGAGCTGATGTTCGCTCCAAGGTTACGCTGTGCGCCTTACTTCCTGAGGAAGCGTGTCTCGCCCCCGGCCCTAACGATCCTCCACCTGTGCCGTCACACGGCCCACTGAAGGCACACACTTGCCAGCCACCCCCCTTCTGACAGGATCTTATAGCACACAGGTGGGCCTTAAACTTTGTGGCCTTCAGCTGCTATCCCCAGAGTGCTGGGAGTACAAACATGGTGTGGGATTGAACCCAGGGCTTTGTGCATGCTTAGGCAAGCACTCTCCGAAGCGAGCTCCATCTCCAGTCCCAACCGCCACTGTCCTTAATGTCTACATCTTGCAGGCTTCCACTGCCCTTGTTCCCGGAACACCTCTGGGATACTCGGGGTGAAGAAACAGGTTAGATGGGGAGGGCCACCAGGGCTGGGGAACAGGAAGGCTCTGGGTCCCCACTATCAGCTACCCCTCTTCTACTCTTCATCTGTGTCTGCCCCTTGTTCCAGCTCCACGTTCCTAACAGAACCCCAGTCCCAGGGTGGGACGGCACTTGCCATGCGGACTTCCAGCCACCTGTTGGCTGCCGTGAGGAAGAGGGAGGCGATGTTGTTGGAGTCAGTATATTCTAGAAGCTTCTGCTGGAACCGGGCCTCATACCTGGAGGGTGAACAAGATGTGACGGAACCAGGTGGGGACTCTCCTCACTTACAGAGGGCTCTCAGCAGCCCCAACAGGCCAGCTCTTAGGTTGACCTCACATGCGGTCCCTGCCTCTGTCCACCTCTCTCCTGCTCCTGGCCCACTGGAGTACGTCAGATCCCTAACAGGTGTCCTGTATTTCTCTCTACGGGTAGACAGCTTATTCTTTCAAAATCACAGAGTGTGTCCCTGCCGAGAACATCAATGGCATCCAGGATTGAGAAGCACCTCCGTGGCAGGGGCCAGTCATAGTCAGCTTCATCTCCTGCCGCCACTATGCCGCAGCCCCCTCAGCCTGGTCAGGGTTCATGGCAACATCTCCCACCCCAAGCTTTGACTCAGGTTCCTTTTATCACATGATGGAAGCTTTCTCTCTTGATCTTTACAAATCTGGTCCCTTCTCAACTCTCAGGCCTGACCTTAACCGCTCTCTCCTCAGAGACACCTTTCCTGGCTCCTCCCTTCCCCCCAGTGGCCACCTCCTTCAGACCTAGAAGTACTTGTTTAATGATGAGCAAAGGGTCTTGACAACCAAACTCAGAGACTCAGAGGGGCCCCCATGCCTTGTTGGACATGCGTTTACTCCCGAAACTGTTGGTTCTACTGAAATTATTTCCGGGCAGAGGACACGCATCTGAGGATGATAAAGTGCACTTCTGAGGGGTGGGGGAGTGTGCATTGCACAGCCAAGTTGTGGATATGTGTGGGTGGGCGACAGGTCTGAGGTGAGTGTGAATCTTGGCATGAGGATTTGGGGAAGCGCATGTTGATGTGTATGTGTGTGTGTGTGTGTGTGTGTGTGCACGTGTGCCTGAGGGAAGGTGAGGAGGAGGGTATGGGGGTCTGAGGGCCTGTGTGCATGACAGGGAAGTCAGGCAGGTGACAGCTGTGCCTGAGGACTGGGAAAGAGCTCCATAGCAGTGTAAACCCAGACTGGCATCCAAACCCCATGAGCATCAGGACAGAATCAAGGTTTCTTCATGGGCCAACATTGAGGGGACATTGATGTTCAACGTGGACTGCAGGCCTCTGAGCCACACCAAGCCCAGTGCAGGGCACTGTGGAAACGCTGCTGGCCCTGTCCCAGCCTGCATCACTCTGTACTGACCTGCCTCCTCTGAGGCAGGTAGTTGGGCTGGGCTTCTCAGTCACTTCCTCCAGACTTGGCTTTTGCTTTGCGGGCCCAAGAAGTGCTTATTTGATGACAAACAATGAAAAGCTGTCTTGACACCACTGCCCAGGGCAGAGCAGCCTGGGTTTTAAGTCCACACCTAAGTCACGTGGCTATTGTGAGGATGACTGTTAGTGCAGTATTTAGCCCTTGGCACTCCACCAGTGTGAAGTTATGCTAGTTAGCGTCCACCGGGGTAGACTTGTGGGCTACAGCCAGCAAATCAGACACATACAGCAGTGATTAAAAGTCTTCAGTTCAAAATCAGGAATCATTTGGCACGATGAGCAGGGTGTGGACTAGGCAGCAGGTCCGTGGCTGGCCACAGGCTCAGTCCGAGCCCTGGCCTTGGTCTGAGGCTGTGACAGTGCTGGAATCTGCTCAGAAGTCTAGCCCACGTATAAAAGCCAGTCTGTGGTGCCAGAGCTCAGTCCAAGGGCTTCTGGACACCAGTTTTAAAACTTAGAGCCGAGGCTAGGCCCAAAGGTGAAGCAACTCGGCTGGGAGCCGAGTCTGGAGCCCTGTGGCGGGCTTTGGGGCTTCTGTGTGGAGATGCGCAGGCTTGTGAGGGGTGTGGGGTATCCAGGGAATGCAGCCTGGCCTAGGGCACAGCTCTCTTCTGCTCTCCTCAGACGACATCTGAGAGGTGAATTCCCACAGTCACACTTGTCTTAGGAGCAAAAGCCCGGGGCACCCCACCCAGGGCGGATCTTGGACATCCTGGGAGGTGAAGAGATGAAGGTCTTGGACCCTCAGCAGTCCTTAAGTCCTAGGGTTGCTCCTGACTCAGGGCTTAGTGTCACATGGCTATTGTCATGCAGCTGTGCTGTTCTAAAAATAATCTGTTGTTACCCTCTGGGTGAGGCTCGGGGATGAGGGCCAAGCTGTGTGGCCAGGGGTCTCTGGTCTGGCTGGAAGAGGGGACAGAGGCTCCGGGAGACCCAAACACTGCTTGGTTGTGAGGAACAAGGGTCTTCCCTAGTCCCTGAGAGCCTCAGATGCTCCCAACCCAATACCACCACTCAGTGTGGTGAGGCGGTGCCAGGGACCCTGAACTTTCAGGAAATTCCCCTGGGTGGGTGTCCTAAGTCACAGTTCTGTAACAGTTCCTCTAAGATCCTTCCCTAGCCGATTCCTTCAGTGCTCCCAAAGCCTGCGTCCCCATGTCTGGTAGAGCAGTGGTCGCATGGCCTGTGGGGACTGTAAATGCCTCTGGGGCTGCAGCCCACGGGACACATCTCCAGTGCCTGGCACTGACTGGTCCAGCACCAGTGGAGCTCAGTGTGTCAGATGGTGAGTGGACTCAAAGCTGGGGTTTGTGGGGCATTTCCTGGAGACGTCAGGTGACTGCTCGGTGTCTCAGTTTCCCCATCACGCTCAGCACTGAGGGTCACAGTGCCGAGTGGACAGACATGGCACTCAGCACAGTGTTTGGTGGCAGAACACAGGGCCTCAGGGCTGGCTTCAGGTGTAAGGGCCGTTGCAGTGTGGCCAGATTCGTCCCAAGCTGGTGAGTCAGGTCCTGCCTGCGTATAGAGGCCTACAGCTTGTCTGCAAGGCTGGAATTCTACACTGGAGTCCGCACGGCCTGTCCCTGCTAAAGGACATTGCCTAAATCACAATACCGTGATTTAGACGGGTATGCTCTGGGCCTTCCTAAGTAGGGTCCTTCGACTTGAGTCTCGCGACCTGTGACCCCGAGGTCAACCCCACCCCACTCCTGTGTTGGGGGGGGGGGGCTCTGGGCTTGTACCTGAAGGCACGGATGGTGGTGAGTCCTTCCACAGTTTCAGCGAAGTGTGAGAGCAGAGGGAGCTGCGTCGTGTCATCCAGCTGCTGCAGGTCCCTGTGACGGACGACAGTGGGTGTTTAGAGGGGCAGTTTGCACCCAGCCTTGGCAGGGGTGCAGCTACGGCCACCAGGCTGGGCAGCCTCGTCTCTTTCAGCCTCAGTTTCTCACTTGCTGAGAGTGATGATGGGATGGCCCCATCACGCTACTGTGGACAACAAAGATGTTCATGTAGACTGCTTCAACAGAGCCCTCGAAGCCCAGGTCCCATCACCCGGGCCCTGAGCTGAGGGGCGAGGGTGCCGATTCCACTTCACAGGTGGACACCCTGAATATGGGGCAGCTAGCCAAAGGAATAGAAAGGCCAGATTTGACTGTCTCAATTCCTTGTTTCCTGAGAACCACGACAGGCCCCAGGGCATCCTGGGCAAGGATCTAAACATTTAGTTCCTGGGTGGGGAGAGGAGGCTAGAGGTCTCCATGGCAACAAGGGGCCTCCTGCTCCCTACGGCCAGGCATCACATGCCAGGTAGGCCAGCTGGGACACAAGAAGCAGCTTCCCTAGACACTATTTCAAGAGCCAGGTATCAGGAATGGGGCGAACATGTCTTCCTTGGTAGAGAGGTGAACTTTTTGGGACAGTTTGTACTACAGCGTGTAGCAACACCTCGAGTGCACAGTACGGTATGATGTTTGGGAAGACACTGTCATTTTGCTAGTGCCAATGCAGAATGTCCCCCCTGGGTGGTCAGAAATTCTGGGTCATTCAGACACAAAGCCATTTATATCAATGCTGATTCTTATGGGCAAGTGATTAGGGTAAAAAATGCATTTAAACATAATGATTATTGTTGCCAAGCAGTATTTTGACTCTTGTTTCTTATCAACTATATGTACTTGTGAAAAGTACTTAACTTTTATGAACATTGCCTGAAGTAAAAAAAGTACACCTTGTATCACAAGTAAGTACACATGCTTACATGACCAAAGCAAAGAGTTCACAGAGATGCTTGTTATAAATATTGTCTGATAATTTATGTTATAGATCAAAACAGAATGTGCATATACATACACATGTATGTGTCTGCAAACACGTATACATACATATGCTTACAAATTTTTTATGGTGTTGGGAATGAAATCCAATGCCTGGAGCATGGTAGTCAAGTGCTCTATCCGCCCCTCTCCTAATCTACCTCACTGTTATACCTCACTGTTTTTAACACGCTAATTATGAATCAGGATATTGATTCAATGATGGTTGTAATTGGCAGTGTGAGTAATTGTGGCCTAGAGGGCCTTTTAAGTTTTCATTCTAATTTTTTGAATCAATGAGTTTAACAGAATCACTCTGAGGAAGAACTCTCTAGAGAATATTCTAGAATACTCTGAGTAGGAAAGATGGGTGTGTGCATGTGTGCGGTGTGTCCTAACCTCACAAGGGCAGATATGACCCATGAGAGTGACTGCAGGAGCCCCAGTCCATCACACGTCCCCCATCAGAGACCAGCCTGATTTCTAAGTCAGCATGACCCCTGGGATCACATGGTTCTCACGGGGAGCATTCAGGACAAATGAATGAAGAGCATAAATGTGCATTTACCCGACCCCAGCAATTCCACTCCTGACCACATCTCCCAAGGAAACAATTGAGATAGGAACTGCGGAGCGTATGCTGACAGATGGTATGCTAGGAGAGGCGCTGCCTCCATTGCTATTGGTTATTTCTGTTTCCGACTCTGGGAAAACACGTCTCTATCACTTTTATGATGATGGTTCTGGCGAGGGTCCCAAACCGCCACCGTAAAGGACCTCCTGTCCCTGTCCCCACACCTCCACCCGCCAGACTAGGAATGCTGCTGTCACCTGGATGCCACTCGGAAGTACTTCTGGATGAAGTAGCACACGACAGCTAGAGGTAGGAGGGCCACGAGGAACACAGGCGTGACGTAGGAGATGACAGCCAGGGCAGAGACACAGAGCAGGGTGGACCGGCTCAGACACTCCAGCGTGGACGGGATGTGCTGAGGAGGCAGTGGGGGTGGGGACGACAGCGGGGACATTTCTGTATTAAACGGTTTGCCGCCATGTCTGTCTCTGATTTGATTGCGGGCTCATAGTGTATCTGTCCAGCTCCCCTGCAAGCTCTCCGAGAGCAGGACTCAAGACTCTGCTTTCTCACCATCCAGTAAGATAAGTCAACCAAGGAGATAGGCTGACCCAAGTGAATACTGAGAGTATCTTGGAACCTTTCTGAATGAGCTAGGGGAATCCTGAATGGAAGCCAGAAAGACCTGGTTTCCTTTCAGACTTAGGAAGCTCTCAAGGGAGGCCCCAGACCCTGGGGCAGTGTCCGTCAGATAGGGACACTGGGTTCCCACACGGGGACACTGGGCTCTGATCATCTGCACAGAGGCCAGCATCTGAGAGGAAAAGCCCCGGGGTCCCAGAGAAAGCATGCACAGTCGGTACCTGGTCAATGGTGTTACAGTCAGATGAAAATCTGTTGAGGATACTCCCCAGGGGTGTGGTCTCAAAGAACCTAAGAGGCAAGCAGAACCATTATTTATTAATTTAGTTTGTTCATGGATGAGGGCAGCTATTTGATTGAAATGTCTCTAGAACCTTCTGTGCGTCTGGTTTCCTAGGAGCAGTTGCCTTTGTGGGTCTGTAAATATCTGACTTCTGTCCTTGAGAATTCCTACAGCTTCTCAAAATGGTGTTGGCTTTTATTTCGCCTCCCTCACCCACAGGTGATTGCTGATACCCTCCTCAGCCTGACTCACTTGGCCACTGTTCCCTCGGGACACAGAGTCCTCTCCCAGGAGAAGAGGTCCCTGGGGACAGCCTGTCAACTGGCTGGCAGTGAGAGGCTACGCTGCCTGTCAGCACTCTGGCTGTGACCTAGAGTCGGCCCAACCCAACCAGAGAGCTTCTAAACTGCAGACTGGGGGCAAACAGAGGATAAGCCAACAAGGCTGCCACGTCCACAGGCCACAGACAGAGACAGGGCTGGGAGTGCAAGTGTAGCCAGGCAGGGGCAGCTATGAAGTAGGGTACCGGAGGTCCGGAAGCCATGAGACCAGGTAACCACTACGCCTATGTGGTGCCGGTCAGTCAGGTGTGATGTCATAGGTTCTCGACACCTGCCACGTTTAGGGTTCTGCTCCATCTCACTAGGGCAATTCGAACATCTAAGGGGGAGGGGAGACTGAGGAACCTGTGGGCTGAGATGGACAGATTACACCACCTAGGGAAGGGAATTAACCTTTACCTGAAACCTGCAGATGCTCATGTGGAGGGCTGATGTGACCATCGGGTGAGCCAATCATGTAAAAATACTCACAAGGTCTGCTGATTAAATGTCAGTTCTCCCTGCTTCGTTCATAAGGACACTTCTACACACACTGACTTGAAGTCACCCCACAAGCCTGTGACAGAGGTCACCTGTGCTCATCTTACAGATGGGGGATTTTGGACTCAAAGCACAGTGACCTGCCCTGGTATGTACCCTGGTATGGTCGAGTCTGGTGTACCTCATGGGGGCCAGGATGATGCGGTTGAGCAGGCTGCGGTGCAGCCTCTTGGCCACCTTCAGTCCCGTCCACTCCACAGTGACAGAGGTGACAAGGCACAGCACGATGCCCAGGCTGCAGAGCACGGTGAAGACCATGGCATAGACAGATTGGTCCAGGGCACATTCCTAAGCGGGGGGAAGAGTGAGAGGGTCCCTGGGCTGCATGTGGGCTCAGCCCTCCCTCCTCCTCCTCTCGGCCAGCCCTGCGGGAGGCTGCAGTCCTACCTGGCTGAGGGAACAGTTCCTGGCAGCAGGGCTCAGGACCAGGGCACTGTCAGTCCACTTGGCCAGCCAATAATCGATGGCCACCAAGACCATGTGCTTGAAGAGCTGGGAGAAGACGAGCAGGGACAGGAGCAGAATGCCAGCAGAGGACAAATACTTGGTGCAGGCTCGCCACGGGATCTTGGCTCGCTGATGCAGCACCGACGATAGGTTGTCGTCTTCCTCGCTCTCGGCCGCCTCCTCTGTAGGTCGCAAGAACCCACCCTGTAGCTTCCCAGATCACAACCCTCTGCAGGTGAACCAGGGGACAGCTTATTCCCACTGAGAGATGGGAAAGCATGTAGAGAAAAGAAGGATGCTTAATCAAACCACACTACCCCACCACGCCCAGAACCCTGGGCTTCCATCTCTCTGTGTGTGATGGTTAATACCGTCAACCGGAATCGTCGGTAAGACAAGCCACTTGGCAAACTGGGAGGGACTATCTACAATAGGTTAACGGAGGTGGGAAGACCTGCCCACTGTGTGTGGTGCCATTCCATGAGCTGCAATCCTAAACTGAATACAAAGGAGAAATCGAGCTGAACATTCATGGCTCTCTGCTTCCTGACTGTGGACACAATGTGACCATCAGCCTCACTCCTGTCGCCACGACTTTCTCGCCGGGACGGACTATAGCTGTGACGGACTATATCTCTAGACCTGCAGGCCTCAACAAACCTTTAACAAGGTTGCTTCTTGTCAGGGATTTTGACACAGCAAAAAGGAAGTAGCTCATTGTGGGTGTTAACTGAACTCCCAGGCTGGTGGTCCATACCTTCCTCCTCTTCCTCATCCAGTAGAAAGCCATCTTTGGAGGACATGGCACGGGGCAGGCCCTGAGATGGCTCTGAGGCTTTCCTCTCCATGACTGTCTCCTGAAAGACAGACGGAGCCTGGCCAGTGTCTTCAGGGAGTGCTTGTGGGGAAGGAGAGGTTGGGAGCAACTACTCTAGCGAAGACTGGCGTACAGGTTGTCTCTACCCTGGGGAGGGGACACACGGACACATGCTCATCTTTCCAGAATTAATTTATTCTCTTTATTAACCAACAGCACCCCATTATCTCAGAGGGGGATATTCTTTGTGTGTGTGAAGAAGTCTATGTAGCCTAGAGCAGCCCTGAACTCTCCACCCCCCTGCTTCATCCTCTTCATACTCCCCAGTCTAGGATTACAGGTGCACACCACCACACCTGATTCTCCCGTTCTTGGCCTCTGAGATGCAAGCATCTCAGGTGGACACTTGACCCTGGCCTGGCTAACCCTCCCATTCCGCCATCCCCGCTGTAACGAGCCAATCAGGGTGAGCCCAGGACTGGACGAACGAGAAGGGAAGCCCAGGGCTGCTGATACAGTGCTGCTGCTGCTGCTGTGAGGTTGGGGCTGACTGGAGAGCAGTGGGCAGAGACGGACACAGAATCCTGGTGGTGGTGCCGTGACGAATGCAGCCACAGCTCTCCTGGGCCTTTCTGGTTTCATGAACCAACGATTCCTTACCACCCGCCCCCCCCACCTTTTCCTTTGTTTAGCTAGTCCGAGCTGGTTTTCTGGAGCCTTTCAGCTAAATGGCATCTGAACATCTGTGTACAGCTGATTTCTGTCCTGGGTCCATGCACAGGTGACAGGTCTGCCCTGGTAGAGCAAGTTGAAGACAACCCTACACCTGTCCTTTTGGAGACTTCCTGGGGGTGGCGAGGACAGGCAGGCCTGTGAGTTCAGAGTCTAGTAAACCTATCTAGTGACGGCTTTCTGGCCCCCCGATTCTCACCTTCTCCAGCTCCTGGTCTTGCCGGTTCATGAGGGTCTTCCAATGCTCAAAGAGCTGGCACTCAGACCTCTGGAAGTCCTTGAGTGTCCCCTCCCTCTGAATGGTGCCGTCCTTCATAGCAATGATCTGCCAAGGCGGCCACAAAATAGGTTTAGCTAGCTTAGAGGAGTCTGAGACCGAGGGATGGCCACCTTGATCCACAGCACTACACAGTCTGGTAACCCACCCACACCAACATCTTTCTCAGAGGGTGCCTTTGCGGAGCTAACGAGTGTACCTTGGCCAGGATTGGCAGGGTACCCACAGGACCCCACCAGCCTCAGTTTCCAGACGCCGAGCAGGCCAACTGTATGCTATCCTGAGCTGTTCCTGATGGCAGGTTCTATCGATTGTGGTAGCATGCTTGTTAATCTAAGCAGGGGTGGCTGTGCCCTTTTGGAGTCCAGCAAACTCTGTATTTGAAGCACCCAATGGCACCATTAAGTAGAGCCAGCTTTAACTGGCACCCATCCCATACTGGGGTCCTGTGCACAGGTACCTCAAGGAACAGGCACCTCCATGTCTGCCTTACTGGACTCAGGATTGTTCTCAACCACAACCACGTTGCTTTCTGAAGCCGTTTTGTCTGTTTTAATAGCTTTCAGATTTTTTCTTTTGTCTTTTTCATAGTGGAAGAGGCTCTCATTCTACAAGGAAGGTTTATTTAGAGAGAAATTAATTAACAGGCCTATTTGGCTCAACCTTGAAGCTCAGAGAGGGTTTCAGATTGTGGCTGCTGTCCAGGAAATTTTTGATATAGGAGTAGGCAGGTGGTCCATTATCTTTATCTTACCATTAAGTGACTCCCAGTGAGATGGAGAGTAACTATGTCCTACCTATTGAAGACCAGGGTGGGGAGGTCAGTCAGCATGGTGTTCACAACACCATGTTCTATGGGAGTGTTGTCTGCAGGACTATGGCCACTGATCCCTCTGCATCTGACTGAGGCTCCACTCTGCTCACCCCTGAGGGCCAACGGCCTGGGGAATCGGCTCTCCCATCTAAACAGGAGCATCCACAGCCAACGGAAGCTGGCTGGGCAAGGCTAGCCTAGGGTACACCAGAAGGGAACCAAGCCAGGCAGGGAATGTCTGCAGGCCCAGGGGGCACCAAGTCTCTGGACTGTAAGTATTTCCTAGCCTACACCAAACCACCCAGGGCTGGTGTCTTGTGCTCTGTGGCCATCAGCCATTGCTGCTGGGTCATATGACTGATTCTGTTGAAGATCACACACACGCACACGCACACACACACACACACACACACGCACACGTGCACACACACACACACACACACACACACACACACACACACGCACACGCGTGCGCGCACACAGAGACACCACTCCACAGCCTGTTCCCTTGCGGTCCCTACCCAGTCTGCATGAGGTAGGTACTGTAGCTTGTGCGTCACCAGGACTACTGTCCTCTTGTCATCCCGGAGCAGCTCAAGGATGCCGGCCTGCATCAGGTGGTCACTCAGATGGATATCCAAAGCTGAGAAAGGGTCATCCTGAGAAAGATGACAGAAAAGGTGTGTGGGGAATAGGTGGAGGTGAGCAGAAGTCTCCAGAGTTCTATCAAAGCTGATCTAGGGACGGATACCAGTTAGCTTTGTGGCCTTGGACAACCCACCTAACTTCTCCGGGGCTCAAATGTCTTACCACCCTTAAACAGACCTTATCAGTTCACTTCTGGTCCTGAGCCCATCCATGACTACCCATCTCCTACAAAGCCTGGACTCCTCAGCACAGTGCCCCAGGCCTCTCTAGTCTGCTCAGCCGCGCTTTTTAGCGCCACTTCTCGCCTGTCCTTCCCAAGCTCCCTCCATCCCAGGTTGCCAATGAGCCTGTCATCCTAGTCTTTGCCCGAGCTGTTCCTTCTGTGGGACACACTGTTCTGCCTTCTGCGTGGTGAACTGCTTTCCACTCACCCAAGCACGAGTCCTTCTGGGTCTTGCCCCCATTAACTCCTGTGTCCCACCCTCTCTGTCCCATGGACAATCCTGTGCAAAGCCAGATCTGATCATCTGTATACCCCTGCCTGCAAGGCCCCCAGGACCTCATACCCCGAGCCCGTGCCTGTTACCGATGCATTTAATGAATGGAGGAAAGAAGCCACTGGACTCTTATCCACAGCTGTTTAAATATCAGGTGACACCTTGGATGACCTAGAACTTCCTAAATTGCTGAGTGTGTGTCAGGTCTAAAACTTACACATGAAGCATCACTGGAGAGGAGAGCTGTGTGTGTTCTGGGGTCGGGGGACAGAATAAAGCCAGGATCAGAGATCTGAGGTTGCTTGTGTCTTTATCTAAATGCCCCACTTCCATTTTGTTTAATTGACTCAAGGCTCTCTTCCAGGAAGCCCTCCCTGATCATGCTGTCTATCACAGTTGTCTCATGGTCTGGGCCACACAGCTTAGCTCTGAACCGGCTATATTTCTTGCATGTATGTGAGTCGGTCTCCCTAATCAAACTTCAGATCTTCAAGGTCAAGGGCTGGGTCTTAAGATCCTTCGGTATCAACCAAGGCACAGGACGCAGAGCTCAGCATGAGGCGGACAAGTTTTATCTCGGGTTCGAGGGCTAGAGTGCTGTGTAGAGAAGGGTTCGGAGGCCAACTTGAGTTCCCTAGAGGAATAATGGTGTCACATACTCCGTGTGCTTATATGCTGACAGTCGGGGCTGCCTCTTTGTCCTTTAGCGAGGTAGTCCTAACCACAGCTTGCCTCCTCTCAAAGTGACTGGAAGGCTCAATGGGAAGTCCATAATGGGTTATCAGCACTGTTCTTGCCTGCCTCAGTTTCTCTGTAAGTGAGATAAAGGTTTGTATCTCTAGCAAGAGAGCTTTGTTCCTGGTTAGGGAGGTTGTTTGATGATGATGATGATGATGAGTGTTAGGGAACCAGGCAGTCAGAGGCGAGGGCCCAAGGGAAACTTCAGCTGGAACACTCACCAGGAAGACAACATTGGTGTGCTGGTAGAGGGCCCGGGCCACACTGATTCGCTGACGCTGACCACCAGACAAGTTGATACCCTGCCATCAAAGGAGAGGAGAAGATCATGCCCTCAGCCCTTCAGGCTCTCAGTGTGCACTTGGGGCTCTATGAGGAGATGGCTGACCTCTCCCATCAGCCAGGGTGCTGTGTAAATATTCCTCCAAACTGAAGCCTTCTCTCCTGGATGGAGAAAGGAGACTTTTAAGACTCAGGGAGCTAAGGAACCTTATGGTATTCAGGAAGTAAGGAAGACTCACAAGGTTCAGAAGGCTCCTGAAACTTACAAGACCCAAGGTTGTAACAGCAGAAGCAATTGCTACAGAGGAGAGACTCCAACTGGCCACATTGCAGGATGTGTGCAGGACGCTGCAGGAGAGCAGCTTTTGTGAGTTATTACCCATGCTGGAGTGGGCTTTGGGTGGTACAGCTGCCTCTGAGCCACTCATACTTCCTTAATTCACTCCAATAGACTCACAGGCTAAGACAGACTTGGATGGAACTGGTTTTTGACCTGGTGTTGGTGCCCTATCTGGTATGAACAGAGATTTCTTTATGTCTCACCAAGAGAAGTCACACATTACAGGACAATGGTCATCACAATTTCATACTACTGGAAGCTCTTCAGCCCTTTCCTCTGTCCAATTTCATCATTCATTCTTCCTAAGAAGGACCTCAGGGGACAGTGGGAACATGGGTAAAGAGCAGGATTGGGGGCTGCCACTAACCCGTTCCCCAATCTGAGTCTGGTCTCCGTGAGGCAGGATGTCTATGTCCGGCTGCAGGGAGCAGGCTTCGATGACCATCTTGTACCTGGAGAGTAAGGGCTGGGGGTCAGCTTACTAGCCTGATCAAAGTCGGGCCTCAGTCCTTGTACGGTCATTAGTCTGTGGGTTGCTGGGCCCCAGTGAGCAATGACTTTAATGCACTTCCTGCCTTGTGCAAGCAAACACCATGAGAGCATGAAAAAGCTAAGGTCAGCGCTCACACAGCCTGGGGCAAGTCAAATATTTGCAGGATGAAATTGTGTGGGAGCAAATAGGCTGAGTGAGGGAAGAGAGGGGGCTTATGGTCCCCGAGCGGTGGGAAATGCTGCAGCCGGAGCTCCTGCTGGGGTACCATCTGGGAAAACCACTGCTGATTGTTTGGAGGTGGTAATGATGATGGCTGATCAAATATTTGCCTAGCCCGCTCTTCTCTTCTCTGGCCAGCTCTTAGCCTGACCAGGTGCCAGCCAGCATCCACGGAGACTTTAGAGTTTCTTGGTGACACATGTCCTTAGGCAGCTTTGGATTTGACACCCATTTCAAATCGGGTAAGTTATTTACGCTTCAGAACTTTGCCTCTTCTCTCATCCATAAAATGGGCATAAGAGTCTTGCTGTGTCAGTGACAAGCACACATATAAAGAGCCTGGCACCGTTCCGAGGAACTGCTAAGTGGTCAGTGGATGCCAGTGATGACTGTCATCAAGGAGCGTTGTGGTGTGTGTGTGTATGGGGGGGGGGACTGGACCTGGTAGTGGGGAACTGCAAGAAGGTTAACCATGCCTAGCTCAGCCCCGCTCCCCTCGCCCTCCTCTCTCCCTCCTCTTACACACGGGGAAGGGACTGCTGGAACCCAGGCACATCTGGATCCTTTCCAGATGGACTAGATGGTACTGGCTGGACTCCAGGATGTCCACAAGGGCCGGGAACACACCCACCCCTCCCCAGTCTCTCTCCCAGAGGTTATTACCGCTGCTTATTGAAGGGACTCTCGAAGGTGATGTTCTCCTCCACAGTGGCATTTAGCAGCCATGGTTTCTGAGATGCGTAGGCCACGGGGCCTCTGCTCCTAGAAGAGCTGGTGGTGAGGGTGAGGCTCTTCCCTGGGGCTCATTCTCAGAGCAACTCTCAGGCTAATCAATGGCTTAGCTGGGACAAGGGGATGGATGTCCCGAGATAGCCAGGCCACATGACAGAAAGCTGCAATGGGTATTGTGTAACCTAAGTCATGTTCTTTCTGATGGTCTCAATCCCCTAAAAAGATTTCTAGTTCCCTCCAACCCCACTCTGTGCCTCTAATCTCAGGGACCCAGTCTGAAACCACACACGAGGGTCTGGGTATAGCCAGACTTGGGAATTTTACTGTGTGACCACATGGGTATATGAGGAGACCCGGGACTTGGCTCATTTAGAAAGGAGAATAGGAGAGGGCCGCCATGACATTGGCTTCCAGAGGAAAATCTCCCAGGTCAGAAGAGACCTGATAAAACCTCTGCGGGCATGGTTACATCTGGACACCAAGCAGTGTTCTGAGGCCTAGCGGAAGCCCTAGAGTCCAAGCCTCAGGTGGCTATGTACACAGGACTCTCATCCCCCTACACCAGCCTTCACCAGCCCCACCTCAACCCTGAGGCAGGGAGGATCCCCAAGTGCCACCAAACCAAGCAATTCCTTAGCCCAGCTCCCACTCCCTCAGCAGCTGCTGGACCCCACAGAGAGGACATTTTTACAGAACCAGAGCTGAGGCAATCACACTCAGTGTGGTGTAGTTTCCAAAGCCCCTCCTTCCCACCCCTTCACCCCAGAAGCTGCTGAGAATGAACAAGTGTGAGATACAGAGGTATGGTGACTCCCGGGCCACAGCGGAGCACAGAGCTCGCCCTGGGACCTGCAGCCGCTGCCAGGGCTCGCCGGCTCCACAGCTCCTGGACCCTTTGAGGAAGCCTGCCAGTCAGGCACAGGTACCTGACGTCCGAGTCAGCCGCTGTCTCCCGCTCTGGGCTGCTGCAGAGGGGGAAAGACACAGGTCAGCACCCCTACCATGGGCTGGGCCCCCCGTGGAGAGTTCCAGCTCCTTCAAACCCCACCTCATGCTTCTGCAAGCCCGGGCACCCAGTCGGCAGTCACACATGAGGCTCTAGATGTGGTGAGCCTGGCAAGCCGCACTACCTGACCATGCCGGTGTGTGAAGAGACCCAGTACTTGGTTCATTTAAGGGGGAGACAAGGGGGACGAGGACCCATGTGAGGGGGGAACTCCCTGGATCAGAGGAGTACCCTGGTGAACTTTTTAGCCTCAGCCTTGAATCTAGGTTCCAATGAGCAAGCCAAGGCCTCAGGCTAACAGAGGTGCGCTGAGCTGGGCAGGGTGTTCCGACCACAGCCAGGATGGGCCAGGCAGCTGACAAAATCTGCACCACGTGGGAAGGAGAGAAGGCTGTGCTGTCTCATTCTACCCACCCATTTCTTTTGGAATGTCTAGACCTTCATTGAGCATATTTAACACGACTCAATTTTCTGTGTAGCGTGAGGGATGCCTGCCTCTACTCCTTATAGACAAGGGTTTTTTTCTTATATCCCTGCAGCCTTTCAAGAAATATTTTTCCAATTATTTGTTTCCTACTAGTTTTTTTTTTTTAATTTAAAGGCAAAGATTGTGTTCTAGGCTGGCCTTGAACTCCTGATCCTCCTGCCTTCATCTCCCAGGTGCTGGGATTACAAGTGCACCACCAGCCCTGGCTCCCGACACACTATTTGGTGGTTTTGGTTTATCCTCAAGGTTACAGTCAGTCAGCACTGCCACCGAGTTCCAGAACAGGGTCACCCCTCAACCAGCCTCGTGTGATCAGTGGTCACACCCCTTTCCTCTGTCTCTCTCAGGCCCCTGGCAAACACCTACGTTTAGACTCTACTAACATGACTTTGTTTCTTTGTTTGTTTACTTTTGGCAGTAGGGTCTCACGTAGCCCAGGCTGGCCTCCAATTCCCTATGTAGGTGGTCTTGAACTTCTGATCTTCTTGCCTCTAGATCCTAAGCAATATGATCACAGGTATACAAAACCATACCTGGTTGATGTGGTTCTGGGGATTGAACCCAGAACCTTGGGCATGGTGGGCAAGCACACTACCAGCTGAGCTGCATCTTCGAACCAGGCAATTTTTTTTTTCTTCTGTAAGAAACTGTTTATTGACTTCAGTGACAATCATTATGACTTTTTTTTGGTTGTGGTTGTTGTTTGTTTTAGAGACAGGTTCTCACCATGTAGCCCTGGTTGGCCTGGAACTCACTGTGTAGACAAGGCTGGCCCTGAACTCACAGCAATCCACCTATATCTGCCTCCTGAGTGCTGGGATAAAGGTGTGCATCACCATGCTCCTCTCACCACGGTATTATGATACCACAGATGACAGATACCTGTGCATGTACATGACCCTTAGATGGGTACAAAGCATTGTCACGTCTAAGGTTTTTTTCTCCCCTCTGCAAACCATGTTTTGCCTTCATTGAGACTGCATGGCTTAGCCTCGTGCCTCTGAGAACATGTGACCACACAACCTTGGATTCACACTTAGCATTCTCACCCACAGGCCCCGCCACCCCACCCACGCCAACCCTGTCCCGAGGTGATACCTGGGGTCCTCTCCCTCGCTGTCTGCAAGGCTGCTGGGTCAAAGAGAAAGATGAACACCAGTTACTCCCCACACCTTCCATCACACTGGAGCTTCATGGAGAAGCAGTCCCTACTCCCCCCACCTCCCGCCCTTTCCAGGGGCCCAGGTGGCTTCCTTGATGCAGAACTGACTCAACTCAATCTCCTCACCGGGCTGAGTACCCTCCAAACAGCACAGGCTCAGCTGGTGCTCCAGCCATTGACCTGGGGCAGCCACGAGGCTGGGTGGGCACCAAGGTGTATTTTACCCAAGACAACTGAGCTCAGGGAGGGAATGACTCTCCACAGCTGCCACCACTGCATACAGAGCGTCTCAGACTGCAGAATCCGAGAGCAGATTAGAAATACGTGGAGCAGCTGTCTTTAAAAAGGAGAAAGCGTCTATGTGCATGGCAGGTGGTTTAAACCCGAGGTTTTCTTTAACCTGTCAGTACAGGGAGGTGAGTCCTCTCACAGTAAGAGGCGCCTTTGGAAAACAGTGAGCTGAATCTTGGGGCCAAGTTTTCCTGTGATCTTTCTCCTGTCCCAGCTCAATACCTCTCAACCTTCCAGCAGCAGCTCCCACCAATGAAATGTGCACTTGTGACCTACACATGTGGGAAAAACACCTTCTCTGCATCCATGCAGGAGTTTATGATCACAATTACTACATCAGTAGTACTTTTAGACAGGGCCTCATGCAGCTCTGACTGACTTCAGTTTTGCTCTGTAGCTGAAGATGACCTTGAACTCCTGATCTCCCTGCTCCCGCCTACCTACCTAGGTACTGTAGCCTGCCCCACCACACCCAGTTATCTTATTTTAATAATGCTGAAGACAGCCATCGTGTATTGAGCTTTTTATAAGTACTGATAAGCACTGTAATAGAATGGTCACTTAATTTCTTTTAGATTTATTCTGTTATTTATTGTTTATTTTTATATATCGGTATTTAGCCTGTGTGTAAATCTGTTTACCATGTGCATCCCTGCTAACCCGAGGTCAGAAGAGGGTGTTGTATCCCCCAGAACACACAGATGTGGACTGTGACAGATATGAGCCTCCATGTGGGTGCTGGGAACTGAACCTAGGTCCTCTGGAAGAACAGCCAAGTCTCTTAACTTCTGAGCTGTCTTTCCACTACATGGAGTTTGCTTTGATTTCTCAACTCCATTTTGCAGATATATCGAGGCTCTGAGAGGCTAAGTAACTTGTTCAAAGTCACACAGCCAGACAATGACAAAAGCCTGACAGGCACCTGTCCCGCTCTGGGGCAGGACCAAATGAGGCCACGACACGTCTGTCATCACCAGTCCCTGCCCTTTCCTGTGGGTTCTGCGGTCCCCGGCCACCTCCTAACCCAGCCTAACCTAACGTCTCTAGCCACCAGATTGCTGCAATTGACAATTCACAGACAGATCACTAACGCGGGACAGAGAAACCAGAGCCGACAAATCCCTGCTCTGTGGCCACAGCCCAGATGAGTTTCTCTTGGGAGATTTCCTCCAGAGTAGCAAAGGATGCGGTCTGCATCTCCATGGCATCCCCGAGGACTCAGCCTACCCTCTAGCCCTGACTCGGTTCATCTTGATCCCGGCTGCTCAATTAGCCCTCCTAATGGACTGCCTTGCTCTCCATCAGCGCCTGAGCGAGCCTGGAGTGCCCAGTGGGATTTAAAGGCAGGAAGAGCATCTTTTCCAGCCCCCGCAGTGCTTAGCCTATGACAGATCTGTAATAAATGGAGCTTGTTAACAGGAGTATTGATCATCAGGGAAGAGAGAGGAAGGGAGGTTTCTTGTTAGTGGCCATTCCCATGCACAGTGCCAAGGAGTTTGCACTCATACTCTGGTCTCACCCTCCAACTGCATCCTGTTCCCATTATACAGATGAGCATACTGAGGCTCAGGGTTATAGAACAGGCTCCACATGACAGAGTCAGAAAGAGGGGAAGCTGGGTGCTAATATGGGTTCACTTCCTCTTTCTAATGTAGCCCTAAGCTTCTAGTGGGAACCTTACTAAGGCTCTGTGTATATATTTTAAGCTAAAAAGTAAAGAATAATACATTTGGCAAACATGTTCTCTCACTGACTGCTGGAGTGTGTGTGTGTGTGTGTGTGTGTGTGTGTGTGTGTGTGTGTGTGTGTGTTTTGTTTGTACTTGTTCATGCAGGCATGTGCACAAGTTGGTGCATGCAGTTAGAGGCCAGAGGTCTACACAGAGTGACTTCCACAGGCGCTCTCCACCTTGGTTTTGGAGACAGAGACACCCACAAGCTGGAGCTCACTGAGGCAGCTAGCCTGGCTGTCCACTCTGGGGCCCACGTGTCGGCCTCCCGGGTACTGGGAGTCCACAGTACTCCTACTGCTCTGCAAGCTCTTTCCTGTCCTCTCTGAGGTACTCTGCTTCTCCTTGCCTGCGCTTTGAATGCTAGGCTGCATCAAGACACAAAGCTCACAGTCTGAAGGATGAGTCAGACAGACAGACAGACAGACAGAAGTCAGAGAGTTACAGGACACCAGGTAAAGTACGAGAGAATCTTGAGGAAGAAGACACTGCTTAGGTGGAAGGCCCTCCTCTCTCTCTCCAGACCCCGCCCCTGAGGAGGCCCCCCAAGCAGAGGCTCCTCCCCCTGAGGGTATTTAAGGCCCCTCCTCGGGAGCAACCTCGTGGTTTCTTCTCGAGGTTTCCCCTCCTCCTGAGACCACCCGAGAATGCTTTGCTCGGATTAAAACCTGGACTTTAATTCAGCCTGATCTGATTTATTGCATTGGCAGAGCTACCCACTGCCGGGGATATTTTACTTCTCACATACCCAAATGTACAAAATGAAAAGGACAGGAAACTTGGGGAGATGAGATAGTACAATGTTTTCATCTTTATACTTGTGCATCTTTCCTAATTTAAGGTACATTTAGCATTTTGTTTTTAATTATGTGTATTTGTGTGTCTGTGTACATGTGTGTGGGTACCTAGGAAGTGTAGAAGAGGGTGTAGGATCCTCTGGAACTAGAGTTGTAAGCCTCCCAATGTGGGTGTTGGGGAACTAAATTCAGGTCCTCTGCCAGAGCAGAAAACACTCCGAACTGCTGAGCCATTAATGAAGCCCAGCCCTTAAAGAATCTCTTTTTGGAATTACACAATGTAGGTTTTGGGTGGTACTAGGGATTGAATCCAGGCCTTACGATGTAAGGTAAGTGGTCTACTACTGAGCTACAGCCCCCTCCCTACTTTCATTTTGAGGCGAGGTCTTGCTGAGATGCCCAGACCGCACTTGAACTCAGGGGCCTTGAATTTTCCATTCTCCTCCCTTTAGCATATGGGATCAGAGGCTCACATGAGCAGATGTGGCAGAAAATGTAATTTTTAAGTCATTTGGAAGAGAAGAAACGAGCAACATTTCACAGAAGCTAGGTAAGCTGAACCTCGAGGGGTGGGAAGGATCAAGTCACAGATACGGAAGGATGGGATGGTCGGGTCTTAGAGAGGGATGGAGCACGAGGAGACAGGCAGAATGAAGAGGTGGGAAGAAGACGGCCCTAGGGTTTGAATCCTCGGCTGTGACACGCGAAGCCCCTTTACTGAGAGAAGTCCCTATTTCTGTACCACGGAGTGAGAAGGTGCAGGCAGTGGTGTGTGAGGGGGCTTAGCACAGCACAGAGCCGTGGAGGGAGGGGCATGAGGGGCCGGGGTGGTGTGGGGTGGGGTGGAGCGGGGCCGGGGTGGTGTGGGGTGGGGAGGGTAGAAACTGCAGGCAGAAGGGTAATCAAGTGCCCCAGTCTGCACCTTCTCACTCGGTGGTAAAGAAATAGGGACTTCTCTCAGTAAAGGGGCTTCGCGTGTCACAGCCAAGGATTCAAACCCCAGGGTCGTTCTGGACATAAAATGTTTCCCACAGGCTCAAGTGCTGAACACTGGTCCCCGCTTGGTCGTACTGTTGGGGAGGTTGGAGAAGCTGAGAGGAACCTAGCTGGAAGCAGAACCTACCTGGGGGAAGCAGGCCACCAGGGTGGGAGCCTGTGGCTACCTCATTCCTGCCTTCTTCACCACCCCCTGCTTCCTGTCAGCCATGAAGCTGTCACCCTTCAGCTGCCGTAATGTATGGCTCACCGGAATCACCTGAGCCAAGGGCTATGGATTTTGTTTGTTTTTTTTTTTTTTTTTTTTTTTTTTTTTTTTTTTTTTTTTGGTTTTTCGAGACAGGGTTTCTCTGTGTAGCTTTGCGCCTTTCCTGGAACTCGCTTTGGAGACCAGGCTGGCCTCGAACTCACAGAGATCCGCCTGGCTCTGCCTCCCGAGTGCTGGGATTAAAGGCGTGCGCCACCACCGCCCGGCTTTGTTTGTTTGTTTTAAAGGCAGAGTCTCACTCACTATATGGCCCTGGCTGACCCCGAACTTGCTGTGTAGACCAGGCTGGCCTCAAGCTCACAGAGATCCAAAGGGCTATAACCAATGAGCCCAAAGAATTTGTTGACTACGTTTAAATTGTTTTCTCTGGTATTCTGACTAGAGTGATGGAGAGTAACTAACAGCTCCGTATTCATTCAAGATCCCAGCAATGAATGAGAAGGGGAGAGGAGAAACTGAGGCGGGTTGAGGTTAGGACTTCAGAGCCTCCACAGTCCACTGTTCCTCCCTCCTGCAAGCCTGTGACTGTCCTGAAGCATTACCCCACCCATGGTTCCCTGTGCAGTTGGTGCCAAGGCCAGATCTCTTAGACAGAAAAGGCAGGGTATTTCTCATTGCCTTAAAGGAGGAAACTGAGTTCCAGGAAGGCAATGTCACCCGCCCAAGGTTACAAAGCGAGGGAGTGCCACAGTTAGAACTAAAGATGCCACCTGGTCCCCAAACCGGCCTGGTCCTTTCCAAGCTTCTTGTCCACTGGCCGCCTCCGGGAGACCCAGGGGCGCCTGAGTCCCCAGTCTCTCCTCAGCACACTTGGGTACGACTAAGGATGGGAATCAGGTAACTGAGCCAAGCACCACAAATCGACAAGAAGGTTCTGAAAAGGCCCAGAGTTAGGAGGACCCTTACTGGGCACAGCCAGACACACTGAGAGGTCACGTGAGGGTGCCTCGGCAGGCAGTAGGGAGAAGGTGGCCAGGGGTAGCCAGATTTGCACTTCCTCATGGGGTGGGAACCTTCTCCTCACCCTGTGCTTTCCTAGGGCCTACTTCCTGATGACTTTTTGGGGACATTAGAAGTCATGCTAGGGACTAATGGCCTTATTTTTCACTACCTGGGAAACAAATTGTACCTGAGTGTATCTGCTAATATTGACTTTTTTATTAACATGTTTTCTTCTTGGAGATTACACCGGGAGTTTGCAAATCCCCAGGTTGACAGTTCATTGAGTCAGGAAGCCAGGGAGAGGCTGATGAATCATGAAAGGGAATGTGTGGGAGTCACGTGGCTCTGAGACCCGGAACCAAGGTCTGCTCCGGACAGCTCTCCAGTTTTGATGTGCCTCGGCTGATGGAGTCTCGGCGCCCATCCTGGGGCTCCTTCTACATAGCTCTGTCTACCTGGAGTTTCTTGAGGGCAAAGGCCAGACTTCCTTCCTCTATACTTACAGGGAGAAGCACCCCGGATCCTGCACTGGGCACTGGGGGAACAGCAAGGAACCCTAAGGGGCCCAGAACCAAACATACAGATCACTGCACAGAGTGCAAGGTGTGGTCACAGGGCTGGCTCCTTCCCAAAGTGGGTGAAGAAGCTTTGAGTTCTCGTTAGGGAGCAACTTGGACAAAGGCTTGTGGGAAAGAGACACATTAATACAGTCCCAAGCTGTCCCTGGTTCATTCATTTGTAAATGAATTCATTTACTAAAGTGACTATGGATTTGGAGAAAAATAAAATGTGGTTCTTGTCTCCAGGCAGCTCACTATGGTCTCTCCTGGGAGACAGGCTGGGGTACAGTATGGGAATTTTGTTCTTGGCAAGGAGGCCCATGGCTGAATAATAATGTTTATCATAATATTTATAGGGCTCTTGCTACATGCTAGGTTAATCCGCTCATCAACCCCATGGGTTAAAAGGGGAAACTGGTACAGAACGCTTATGGAATTTTCCAAAACACACAGATCAAATCTGAACTCGAGCAGCTTGGCCCAGAGCATCTGTTCCTGCCTGCTCAGCCATACTTAGCTCATTTGGTCCTTGCAGGAATAAATGAGCAGTTGTACCAACAACCATCTCCCCAGAGTGTTCTCCACACTGCCCCTCCCTAATCTCCCAGCTTCCTGTCTTGTGCCCCCTGGAACTCTTTCTGGCTGCCTGGTCACCAGGGTTTGGCCCCAGTAAGGAAGTGTGTCCTGACAAGGTCCTCGCCTCTGGCTGTAGGCACGCACTATCAGGAGAGGTCTCTAGGTCAAAAGCTATTTTGCTCTTGGCTCACTTGGCAATTCATCACCTCTCTGAAGACCCGAGGTCCAGTATCATGAGTTCGGATCTCCTCCCAGGAACGAGAGGCATCCGACACACAGCTCCCATTCTTAGCTTACGGCCCTGATATAGGTGTCCAGATGGAGACATGGGCACCCAGGATTTTGCAGGACAAACAGCAGAAGCCTACAGAGTCAGTTTAGACTCCCTCTCGCAGCCATCTTAATGAGCTCCTAACTGGCTTTCTCCCTGGTCCCTCTCCGTACTCCATCATCCTTTATCAGCAGCAGGCACTTCTACAGTCGTTCAGCTCAGTGTTATTTCTTGAGCCTGGTACATCTAATCTACGTCAGGTTCACTCCATCAGTCTCTCATTGCGACATTCCACATGCCCAGTGCTCCAGGCACCCAGAGCCATGCTCTTCAACATAGCAAGGCTTTGCCTGGGCAGCAACCTCACCTGGGACACCTCCCTCTTCCTCCCCTGCCTTTTCCATTAGATGAGCCCACACTCATCCTCAAGGGCCTTCCCCCCATGGACCACAGAGTTCCTTGTCTGGGTGCTCTGGTGTCACAGTGATTTTTCTGGCCTTCCCTTGCAAGCAGGAGTCAAGTCTGAACTATCACTGCATTCCTGTTGCTGGGCACATGGTCTGGCGTCACAGGTGGAATCGACTGATGTATTGGTGTGGAGAAGCCAGAGCTGGAACTGAGCCAGGAATGGGTTCTCAGAACCACCTAGAGATGGCTACAGGTTAACCTGTTATGCCTGGGAGGGAGCTAGCCCATGGAGGAGAGCAAGGTGGATTCTGGAGGAACAAGAATCTTGGCACCTCAGTCTTCCTCCAGCCCTCAAATGGGCCTGGACATCCATTGAGGAAGCTGGGTTTTGGTGAGTGCAAAGTCTGAGGATTCAGGCAGTGGCTCTGTGAAGGGCGTGTGTTTGCACACATGCTGTGTGTGTGTGTGTGTGTGTGTGTGTGTGTGTGTGTGTGTAGTGTGTGTGTGTGTGTGTGTGAGAGAGAGAGAGAGAGACAGAGACAGAGACAGAGACAGAGACAGAGACAGAGAGACAGTAAAGAGGCAGCTAACTTTCGGGTCATCAGATGAGATGGTACTTCTTCCCGAAGCTCTCACACCCTTTCAGAGCACAGTGGAAGCTCGGGTGCCCACCTGAATGCACATTCTACTTCTGCCCTGACAAGAACTGGGCAACTTGCTTCACTTCAGTTTCTTATCTGTTGAATGGGGAGAATAGTATCTACTTCTCAAGGCGAGGGAACCGACAGACACTGAATGTCCTGGTCAGTGCGTGGCACGTGGCCCTGGCCACCCTGGAGAGGCTCCTTGCCTCATGGAGGTCCCTGTGGCTGGGGCAGGGTTGCTGAAGGGAGAGAGGCACTGGAATCTGGTGGAGGAGAGGTGGGGCGGAGCCAGTGGAACCCCTGGTGATCAGGGGAGATGGCTGTAATGGTGTGTGTGTGTGTGTGTGTGTGTGTGTGTTGGGGGAGGGGGGAATGGATAGAGAGAAGGAGAAGAAAGGAAGGTGACAACCAGCGTCAGAGCATTTCAGCTTGTGTGCTGTGTGGGACACAGGCCAGGGAACCCCAGGGGCAGCTCCAGGTTTGAACTCTGCAATCCCTTCTAGAAAAGGTTTACCCTGGGGAGAAACTGGGCCCATATGGCCTCCAACACTGAATTTAGAGAATAATTTCCCGGGAACAGGACCCAGCACACTCTATCCTGAGGCAGTGGCCAAGCCTGTGGCCATGCTCTGATATATACACTAAGAGAAAGTGACCCACACTCCCTAAGCCTCAGTTGCCACTGATATGAACTGAATGGCTTTGATGAGATCACGCTTGCTAAGGGCCTGGTCCACAGCAGGGACCCAACAAACACTGGCATCCTTCAGCTCACGGTTCACCGAGGCTCCTGTCTACTTGTCACAGACACACGGCTAACAGGCAAGGGCTCCTCACCTGAAGCCTTGAGGAGCTGCTGTTGTCAAAGCCAGCACAGTGAACTCACATCAGTCCCCGCGCTTCCCAGGGGACCGCCCAGGGACCCACAGTGGGATGGAGAACAGAGGCAGGAACACTTCTGCTCCAAACAGGATCCAGTCCCCATGGGGACTACAAGGCTTACAGGACGGTCAGGGAACCCAAAGGCTCCCCTGCCAGCCCACGGCAACACCAAGCAGGGAGACTTGTTACTGCTGGGGACACCATTCAGGGACGGTTTGGAAAAAAAGGCAGTCAGTGTGAAGCCTGTAGTCAATGTCCAAAGTCTTTCTGTCTGGGCAGTTCCATGCTCAGGCTTATCAAAACCTGTCATCTTGGGTAATTTCCTTTAAAAAATGACCTGTAGGGCAAGCTGGCCCTCCTGCTGAATAGGCTGCAGCCCTTATCCCGATTAAGAGCTGTGAACCCCAGCTGGGGCGCCTCTTTCCCTTGGTGATGGCAGGCACAGGGCCAGGCTGTGCCGGATGGCTGCAGCTGTCTCCTGCTCAGGTTCTGTACACCCTCCACCCTCTTCGTATCTCAGCGTTCCTGCCTATTAAAGATTCCACTTGATATTCATCTCTCAGCAGCTAATTTCACTGCCTTTTAGAAGTAGGTGGGTATAAATAATAGATTCATGCAGGACTCTGCCTAAGGTTCTGGCTCTTTAATTAAGATAGTGATCTTTGGAAACCAGTGTTTGTCTGGGTTACTCTGGGCCCTCCACACACACCCAGAATGGCCCAGTCTGCTTTGTTGATGAAAAACCAGAAACAAAAGTTGGCACAGAGGAAATATGAGATTTAAGAGTGAGCAGAACTGAGTTTGAATCTCCGCTCTGCCTCTTGCTAGTTGTGTGAATTAGGGCGAATACAGGTCTTGTCTATAAAACGAGAATTGGTAACAGTACTCTGATGTTTCTGAGGACTCAGGGAAATCAGTCATGCACGGAACTGTGCCAAGTATCTGGCAATCACACAGCCAGGGCTGAACGGGCAAGAATGACGACAATGTGAAAGAAACAAGAGCATTTACTAAGTGCCCACTCGACGCAGAGGCACTCCATAGATGAATGGAGCATCCTCCACAGAGTGAGATGGCTGCAGGGAGAGGAGCCAATGTTACCTGTTCCAGAAGACAGCCCCTGACACCTTCTGCATCTCCCCCAGGGTGGCGAGGAGGAGCGAGGACTTGCCGCAGCCCACCTGCCCCACAATCATGGTCAGCTGGCCTGTGGGAATGGGGGGCAGCAGATGGGAGAGGGGCCGGGTAGAGCTGGCCAACTATCACCCAGAAGAATCAACGGACATGTGCACTCGGCTCTGGGGCCCTCATCGCCTCCTCCACCCGGAATGCCCAAGACACCCTCTGCCCCCCGAGTTTTTCCTTCTCTGGGTTCCCAGGTCCTTCCTCCACTTCCGACATCCTCCACTTCTTCCCTGCAGTGCTCCCTGCTAGCCCAGCTCCTTGTAGTCCTCCAAAGCGCCAGCCTGGCTCCCACTCCGACCCTCTGCCACCAGGCTGATGGGAACACGCCCATGTCCAGAACCTCCATTTCCACACAAACTCCTAGACTACTCAAGTCTGGCACCTGTGAAAATGTCACTGGCAACAGATGGTTTAACATCAAAGTGTCACTGTCTTACTCCGACCTTGGGTGTAGCCGGTTTCTGTCAATGGATGGACACCTGGAGGGCATAAGCCACTTCTGTCTAGCATTCAGACCTCAGAATGCCCAGCTAGGCAGCAGAGGGCAGGTATTTAGCAAACTCTGATTTGGCTTTTCCTCTCTGTTTGGGACATGGGGGTGGGCACATCTGGAGAAGTGAGCTGGGCCATACCTCGGGGGATACGGATGGTGATGTTGGACAGAGTGGGGATTCCATCGGGGGTCCAGGTGAAGAAGCCGCCGATGATCTTCATGTCCATCCCCCATGGTGCAGAAGAGGACGGAAGGCAAGAGGGGTTTCAGTGTGGAGTGACCTTTGTCTCCCCTCCCCCAGGAAGGTCTAACCCCTGGGGCTTTCCTGGGCAGGACAGTGGGGGACTAATCCCTGTCTGAGGTACCCTAATAGGAGTAAGGAGGGAGTTCCCCTGCTAAGTGGAGTGGAAACATCCTTGGCCTCAGGATTCCTCTCAGCAGGCGGGGGGCGAGGGAGGGCTTTGGATAGAGGACCCAGAACCCAGGTTCTTGGTCTTGAGGTGTTAAGCTTCTTTTGGAAGATGGTGCTGAGGCTGGGTGTGTGGTGAATTCAGGGTTGAGGACTCACCTGGACACAGAAGTTGTCAGCATCCCCATCCATGCTGGGGGTCAGCCTCTGCAGTGGGCCTAAGAGGTCGCGAACCTCTTCCCGGGCTGGGTGTTTGCGGTTCACAACCTTGAGGGGCTGTGGATGGTTAGGAGTTGAGGGCCTCTGGGCTGGACCCCTTCTGGGGGCATGTGAGGGCCCAATGCAGTTGGGCACAAGCTTCAGGACTTGGATGAAACTGTTAGGGGTAGCAGGGGGAGGCTGGGCACTTACCACTGCCTGGTACTTGCCGGCTTGGCCTTGGGGTGCAGGCTCTCGGGGGGCACACTGCTCCTCACGGATCTCTGCACTGGACAGGAACTCACTCAGTTTTTGCACGCTGCAGAGGAAGCAGGGGAGGGAAGAGGAGGAAGTGTGATCTGAGAAAAGAGCTCTTAGTGAGTGCCTGGTCCCAAGTGTGCTCCACAACAGCTGTGCTGCCGGGGGCTGAGCAGTGGGAAACTCCACAGGACTGAGCAGCAAATGTTACCAGGAGTTTAAACCAACACATTTACTCATTTATGATGTGTTGTAGGATTGGGGAGGTATGGGGACTACAGACAACTTTAAGGAGTGGGTCTCTCCTAGCATGTGGGTCCTGGGGATTGAACTCAGGTCACCAGGTTTGACAGCAAGCACCTTCACCCACTGAGTCATCAACACCTCTCCATCCACTACCCCGTTATTATTATTATTATTATTATTACTATTATTACTATTATTTGTTTTGAGGCAGGTTCTTAAACAGCCCAGGTTAACCTCACACTTACGAGTATTACTAAGGACAGCTTTGAATTCCTGGTGCTCCTGCCTCTACTTCCCAGGTTCTGGGGTTACAGGTGTGCACCACCACACCCAAGCTTTTACACACACTTACACACACACACACACACACACACACACACACACACACACACACGCCAGTGACAGGGACTGAAACCAAGCTTGCCTATACTAGGAAGCACACTACCATTGAGCTAATAACACTGCACAGTCCCTAAGACTTCTTTTAAAAAGGTGACCTGTAGTAGTCTGGATTGGAGGTACCTTTGTTTAGTTTGGGTAAGTTTAATGTTAAAGATGGTCAGTTGGACGATAAGGCTGAAAGATGGTTGGTGCTGGGTTTTACTAGTTAAACCATTCCAGTTAAGGTTGGCTACTGTTAAGATTAGTTGGGATGAAGACCAGTTATTCACGACAGCTAGTGTCTGGGGAGCACGTACTGTATACCAGATGCCACGTTAATTGCTATATAAGCATCATAGAGTCTTTTCCCATAACAGCTGCTCAAAGGGGGCCCAGATCACAGGGAGGTGTGTCCTGTGACAGACAGCCCTGGGAATGTCCTTGCCTGGATCCTTCTCTTACCTCACTAGGGCTTTGACAGTGGACCGAACCACGCTAGACAGCAGGAACAGTGGTGTGACCAGGATGTGGAAGAGAGAGAGGGAGGCAAAGGCCACTGAGGGCGAGAAGTCCGACTCTTTGAAGAAGCTGACGTGGCCCACAAAGGTCTGTGGTAAAGGCATAGGGAGGGGAGGGTGACTCGGGGTGTGGGTCCCTCCCACACCGAAACCCCAAGGCCCTGGAAAGGAAGCTGGAGAGCTGACAGGGACTGTGAGGAAACTTTCAGTTACAGTCATCTTCCTCACTTGCCTCATGAAAATGTCCCCAGCAAATTCAGGAATCACGCTAGGCGTGGGGCTGATCCCCCGGCCCACCCCTCTGTGTCAGGGGGAAGCAGGGAGGAGCCCTGGCGTTGGATCTGCTCCTGTTCCACTTGGAATTCTGGGTGCTAGTTTCCTGAGTCCTCAGTCCAGTGAAAACACAAAAATAGTTGCTACAAAGCCGTCGCCTCCCGCGTCTGCCCCCAGCTACCTGACTGGCTCTGTAGCACAGTTCCCAGGGCACAGGCCAGGAATGGGCTCAATAAATCACATTGAAAATGAATTCCCAAGCAGGCCTGACAGCCTGTGCGCTCTGAGCCGTTCAGGGATGCTGGCCTCAGGGGAAATAACGGTATCTTTTAAAAGAACCTCAGTCCAGGGTCAGACGCCAGGGGAGGCTAGGTGGGAGTGGTGTGCGGCTCCAGGGGCCGGGGGCCTTGCTGTAGGGCGTGTGACCTGCCTCCACAGCTCAGCCTTAGCACATCTTTGGTCAAAGGTGCACAGTCCACGATACGGGAGCTGTGCACGGTATGTTCCTACATCCAAAAAAGCAGGTTATACAACTGTGTACGCAACCCGGTCCTATTTCTGTAGAAGTGACATATCGTCGGCTTAAAAAGGATGAGAAAGAAACACCCTGAAGACGCCGAGCAGGGCGTGGGGGTTTACCTCAGTTTTTACTCTTCTTCCCGACTTTCCTGCCATTTCCACAGTATATGTGTTCCATTTTTATGTGTTTGCAAGGAACACGTATCCATTTTAAAGTTCAATAAACCATGCCACCCCCTTCCTCTTCTTCCTTGTCCTCCTCCTCCCTCTTTTAGGGACAGGGTCTTATGTAGCCCAGGCTGGCCTTGAACTTACTGTGTAGCCAAGAGTGACTCTGAACTGATACTCCTACCTCTATCTCCTAAGTGCTGGGAGTACAGACTATGCATGCCACCATGCCCGGTTTATGTGGTGGCTGGCCTGGAGCTCGGGGCGTCGTGCATACTGGACAAGCACTCTACCAAGGGAGCCACGTACCTGGCCCTATGAGCTATTTCTGAAAGAAAGTCTCATTCCTCTAAGTGTTATGTCTCGTATCCCCCAGGACCCGAGGCAGACCCTGTCTGTGTGGAGGAGGGAGGGGTCCATCGACGTTCACCCTCACCCCTGGACACAACTCTGGAGAGATCCTTGTGCTAAAGGATGGGACCTGGATGGCTCTCCACCTGTCCCTGCCCAGCCCAGTGCAGAAGAGAAGGGCCACTTACGATGAGGACGGCGGCAATGGGGATGGCCGTGTTCATGAAGACTGTGAAGGAAGCACAGGGTGAGGTTAGGGGAGGAAGGAGCTGAGGACAAGACGGCGGCCAGGGTGGCGCATCTGAGCGGAGGCCCAGCTTGCTGGCTGCATCTCCAGAGAGGGCACTGGCAGCTCCTTCCCAGCTTCCCCAGGGCTTCTTGTCCCCCTTCTCCCGGCCCCTGCTTCTGTGCTGTGAAGGAGCAGGGAAGGAAGTCCCATGGTAAGATTGGCGCACGGCTTCAGGGCTGAGCGGTAAGCAGCTTGTGTCTTAGGAGGCCCCAAAGGCTGCTTCTTCCTCTGCCACGAGCCCCCCGCACGTCCCTGTGTGGTGCAGAAGCTTCCTAGTCTGCTATGGCTCTTGGGACAGATTTCAAACTCCTTCAGACTAAGGCGCTGGAGACTGAGCATAAATCAGGGTCTTCCTTAGACTTAAGGCTTGGATTCCATGCTCAGGTTAGGTAGCTGATATCTGGAGTAGTGGCGCCTTCCTCATTTGTTAGAAGTACAGCCTCAGGGGCTGGTGAGATTAGTGGGTAATGGCACTTACCACCGACACTGAGAGCCTGAGTTCCATCCCTGAAGCCCACGGGGTAAAAAAAGAGAACAGATTCCCACAGTTTGTCTGCTTGCTTCCACATGTATGCCATGGCATGTGTGTGTACATGTGTGTGTGTGCGCGCGCGCGCACACACACACACACACACACACACACACACACACACACACATTAACTAACTAAATTTACAGTGCGCCCTCATCCACTCTCCTCCCATTCTCTCAGTAGGGAAAAGGCTGATTCTGCAATCACCCAGACTAAAGCCCAAAGACCAGGAGGCAGGGCTGTAGCCAAAGGCTTAGCCATTATATATGGTCCTGTCCGCTAAATAGCAAAGTCTTCAAAACTCTGATGTCCAGAAGCTGCCTGGCCGTCCCCTTACAGCAAGAAGCCTGCAGCAGCTAGTTCCTGCAGAGATGCACTGGAGGTGTGGCCACTGCTGCAGAGAATCCCATCCTGGTGGGAGGGTTTGCATGGTCTTTGCCCTTAAAGGCTCCCCTCAGAAGAAAGACAAGTCCTGTTCTCCCAGGAAGCCCCTGGTGTGATGAGAAGGAAAATGAGTTCCTGGGAGTTATCAAGCAGGTAGGAAAGACATCTCCATCTTTCCAGGGAGTTTCTCATCTGAAAGGAGAGAAGGCCGTGCCCTATTACAGCTGAAGCCCCTGGGCAGCGCTAACCTTTCCGTGAGACTCAAAGGCCTTTAACTGATACCGGCACTAACTATGGCCGTGTTTCAACTGCCCTTCCCAACAACGGCAGGGCTGCTCTCCAGATGCACCCACACAACACTGCCACCCTGATTTATGGTTTTTCTTTTCAGGTGGTAGAAACGTTACTGGTTACCTCCACAGTATGAGGGTCTGGGATAGGGTATGGCATAGCCATCACTGGCTGGGGAGAAATGGGCAAAGGGGGAAACACACCTGCCGGTCCTGCACCCTTGCCCGTCACCAGCCACGTAGCTCTAAACCCTCTCCAGTCCATCAAGATAAAAGACTAATGTGGAGGCCTCAGCGGCAGAAGCACCTTCCAGCTCCTGCCCCAGTCCAAGAGCCCTCCCTGTCATGCTGGGCTCTCCTCACAGCACCAATGTAGGCTGGGATTTGGATTGGGGGTTGACACAGCTTGCAAAGCAAGCAATCTGGCTCCACGTAGCTGGAGCAACAGAGAGGTCCCTACCTTCTGACCCTGGGCATGGATCAAGAGGATATCAGCAAGGTGGTGCCAGCCCCTGCGCCATTACCGCAAAACACAGTTCCAGCTGGAGTAACAAGCCACCCAGAATGAGGCAGCCTGGAAACCTCCCGCAGGAGGGGCCACTTTAGTAAGTGATGCCGTACACCTCTGGGGGACACTTGGCAGGCAGAAAGTGTGTGATAATTGGTATTTTATTCTAATGCATGTTTCCCATGGTCATGATTTTTAAAATATGTATATTTTTCTGTTTTATTGTCTTTATTTTTAGAGACGCCTGGACTCCTTTGAGGAATGAGACAAGCTATAAATAAATTAAAAACGAACATTTCAGAGCTGATGCAGCAATGTGGAGCCTGCTTGTGACAGAATTAATTTCTGCGCTGTGCTGGCTGTTGCAGGAGAGGCAGAAGGATGAGAATGTGATTTCCCAGTTCCCTCACCCTCCCCTGGAAGGATGTCTGCTGCAAGAGGTCCTAGGTCCCCTTTGGTGTGGGAGCTGGGGGAGCAGGATCATTGGTTGCTGTATTTCAAATGCCTCTAGGAAGATCACCCCATCACCGTGGGAGGGACGTGGATCCCTTGGGGATACCACTGCTGCAGACTGGGGGCCCAGGACTGCGGCCCTGCCCCTCTCTGAGTGTGGCAGACAACCGGGGGGGGGCAGCAGGACAGGCAGCTGTGGTGGGGTGAAGACCTGAGGTCCCATTTTCCTGGGCCACACACAGCTCTACAGGATTCCACAATGTCTACGTAGAAGAGGTGGGAAATACCATGGAGAATAGATTTTTCTCTAACTCTGACACAGAGTGGGTGATTCCCTTTGATCTGCTTTAGAAAAAAAATAAATAAATAAAACACAGCTGGTCGGTGGTGGCACACGCTTTTAATCCCAGCCCTCGGGAGGCAGAGCCAGGTGGATCTCTATGGTCAAGGCCAGCCTGGTCTACAGAGTGAGTTCCAGGACAGCCAGAGCTGTTACACAGAGAAACCCTGTCTTGAAAAACCAAATAAAACAAACAAAAAACCCAAAAAACAAACAAACAAAAAAATCAAAAGACAAAGACCAAAGAACACAACACCACCAAATTTTGAGTGTTGAACTATGGGCTGAATGATGTCACATGAAGTCGGAGATTACAGAATGGTGTGTGTCCTGCTTTGCTTTACTTATCAACCTGACACAATCTTTAGTTACCCAGGAAGAGGAAGCCTCCGCTGAAGAACTGTCCTGTGGCCTTCTCCGTGAAAGACTGTCTGGGCTGATGTTTTCTATGAGAGGGCCCAGCCCACTGTGGGCAGCACCATCCGTAGGCTGATGGGCCCATGCTGTGCGAAAATGTTAGCAGAGCATGAGTAGAGAGAGCAGGCTAGGAAACAGCATTGCTCCATGGTTCCTGCTTCAAGCTCTTGCTGGAGTTCCTGCCCTGCCATTGCTATGATGAACTGTGACCTGGAAGTGTAAGCAAAATATATCCTTTCTTTCCCTAGCTTGCTTTTGGTCATGGAGTTTTTAAAGTAGCAAAAAGCAAACTAGAACTGTGTGTGTGTGTGTGTGTGTGTGTGTGTGTGTGTGTATGTGTGTGTGTGTGTGTGTGTGTGTGTGTGAGAGAGAGAGAGAGAGAGAGAGAGAGAGTGAGAGTGAGAGAGAGAGAGAGAGAGAGAGAGAGAGAGAGAGAGAGAGAGAGAGAGAGAGAGAGAGAGATATTGAGATTTCTGATTTCTGGCTTTTCCTGGACTTCCCACCTCTACCTCCCAAGCACTAGGATTGCAAGTGTGTGTCACCACACCCAGCTTGTTAGGGTAAAACTCATTTCATGTGCCCAGTCCTTAAAGGCCACTGTAAAGGTGAAGTCCATCTGCGATGGTACAGATATGGGTGTTTTACAAAGATCCTTTAGGAGCTATTCACTCAATTCAATAACGTTACTTTGTCCTGAGCCAAACTTCGTGCTAGCTTTCCCACGCCCACTGTAAAGAAGATGACAGACCCACCCAAACCAGAGCAGACCCAGCTCTTGGCTCCGGGGCTTTGTCCAAGGAACGCTGCTTGACCTTGTGGGCACCAGTCTGGTACTGTAATACCAGAAGCTTTTCATTTCCTAAGTTGCCATAAATATTTTAGGAGTCAAGTGCTAGGGAGGCACAGCGGCCATTGCTCCCTGGTTAACTCCAGCTCTGCCTCCTGTGGAGGGAAGGCCGAGGGCGAGCACTTAGCTTGTCCTAGTTGCAAGCTGTGCTGGGAGGAAGGGAAATGTGCACGGGAGCTATTTTCCCTTTAGTCTGACGCCAGCAAAGTCAGCAGAGTGTGGAGGAAGGCAGGGGCATGGTACCCTGCTGCTGGAGGCATCAGGAGAAGCGCACTAGGAGGCCCCAGCAGGACTGACTTTGGCTCTCTAACTGAGGACTCTCCTCCTCAGCCAACCTCTGCCAAACCAGGTCAGGGTGCACACAAGTGACCCTCAGTGGCCGCATTGATCGGCAGAAGAAAGAACAGGTAACGAAGGAGAGGCGCTGGAGAAAGAAGGGGACCAGGAGCTGGGTGTGGAGGTGCACACCTGGAACCCCAGAACCCAGAAGGTGGAAGTGAGAGGGTCAGGATTCACGACCATCCTCAGCTACACTACAAGTTCCAGGCCAGTTGTAAGAAGGTCTCAAAAAGACAAAGATATAAACAAAACAAAACAAAAGCCTCAGGGCTTCCACTGAGGAGTCCAGAGAGAGAAAAGATAGGAAGACAGGCAGTGTGTGGAGTGTGGAGAACAGCTATGCCATGCCCTGTGGACACACGCTTGTCCCGGCCCTCACACGTGGCTGAGTTGATTTCCTGGCCTTTTAATTTTCAAGACACAGCCTGAGACTGTCACATTGCCTGTCTGGGGTCCAGAGCCCTGAGCAGAGCACTGACAGACTGCAATCACATCTGCAGTCTACCTAAGCTCCTTCCACAGCTCCCTGCCCCAGGGGCAAGCCCAGCGCTCTGACACACGACACATGCTCTATGATTTGGTCTCATCCTAGTAAAAGGAAGTTTGAGATGGACTCCACCAGCATGTTCCTCACCTCGAAGTCTTAATGCCTGGCTGTTCCTTCCTCATCCGGGCAAGTCATGCTTACCCTGGGGAACCACTAGGGGCTTCACTTCCAACAGGCATTCCCTGACACTCACCACCTTTAAGACTAGGTCGGGCACAACTCATAACTTTGTGGGCATCCAGAATGCCCCTTCTGGTCTTGTCAATCACCGCACTGTTGCCTG